ATTGAATTACAGTATACGATTTTCTATTTATATTTCGAACCTCGGCTAGATACAGTATGTTTTTTCAGATTTCTGTCACTACTTTTTTGCTTTTTACCGATATTCTGATTATGCCTCATGTTATAAAACCTACAAAAAGTCGATGCTCTGAGCTTGGCCTGCACAAATTTCAACTCTTCACTTTTTACTAGTGATTTATCCAATGACTTATCTTTTCCACAAACTTCAGTCAAGCTCAACTGGCTCATGACCGTCTTCCCCCCAAATTTGCACATGATCGATCTCAAAAAGCTCACATCTTTGCGCATAGTCGAAATATGCCTACTTATTACAGAGCTGAACCTCCCGAAATTGGTGGACAACATGTGATAATTTTTCTGCAACTCGACAATATTTTCCAAAGTTTTTTCGCTCGTGCTGTTAGTCGGGAAAATCTCTGAATCGCATTTCTTCAAAACCAATACATTTTTCTCATTCTCGTCTGATGAAGCCAAGATTGGATTGTTATCAAATATTGTTAGAGAATGTTTGCCTTTTTTTGTTATACACTCTATACATGTTGTTTCGTTAATGTTCACATTGAACTTTGTTATTTCGTCATTGTCTTGAACCAGGTTATCCGACACTACAGCTAGTGTCGGCTCAATTTCTTTTCCATCTCCAGATGAGAGTTTATCGTTCTCCCTGTATTTCTCTTTGATATCCTGGAGGGTGTTGATTAAGGAATCGAGCTTGTTCAGAGATAGCTTGAAATCTTCTCTTAGAACAGTTTCGGGTTCTGAGTAGTTGGACAAAATATCACATTGTACAGACGAACTAACAACTCTTGGTTTCAACTGGGATTTATTCTGAAAAAATTATCAAGATCAACACTTATCGTACTGTTTCAACTCATACCTTTGATACACAGCAAAATAATACACTGAAGCTTGCATAAAAGCCTTTTCGGCGTTTTTTTCCTGGCTTTTCCGAACATTTCTCACTTGACGTTAACATGTCATAATTTTGAAAACTAGAGATTTTTTGCAAAAGTCCCGACTGACAATTTAACAGATAACTGAAACGTCTGAATTTTTCCAAAAATTACATTATTATAAATTTTTTGGGTAAGATTGTGTAGAAGATTTCCCGAGTCACCTTGTATTATTCTGACTGTTGAGATTATGTTTTTCTGGGAGGTTTCCAGGACGAGGGATAACAAGGTTTTGTTTTGGGACACGATATAAGTTCTTGGAATTTGAATATTTATTTTCTTACAAATAAAGCAGAGTAGAAAGTTTCTCGGTATAGTTCTTATTTATTGAGACCCAAAAGCTATCCTGGGAGATATTGGCCGTGAATATTTCCAACAATTGAGAAAAATCCATTAGGGTAATACCAACTTATTTGTTAAATATATTATGTTGAATCAATAGTGTCGTCATAAGTCTATGGTATCGTCGATTAAAATTTTGACGCGAGTAAGTAATCTACAACTTTCACATCATCATTATTTCATGGAATATTACTTACTTGCAGGTATAAATACCACTAATATGATGGCTTAATAGATGAAAGTGCTTTATGCGGCTTGTACAAATTTTCACTACCCTGTTTATACAGCGTGTCTCACTTTAAATGGCATCGCCTCTATATCTTGCAATTTTCACCAAATTTGGACCGGTATTCATAACCATCAATATGATCAGTTTTTCAGAGACGAACATCCCTAATAACACACTTATGTCCCATGAATATCCTTAGGACGTCCTGTCGGGACATTCAGGACGTCCATAGGACGCTCGAATTTGGTACCGTGGACGTCCATTGGAAGTCTGTGGGACGCAAAAATGTCCCACTTGAGGACCAGCTATGGACGTCCTTGAGGGATGTCCCTGGGACAACTATAGAATACCCAAATCCTACAGTATTCCTCATCAAGCACTACACAGGACACCCTTAGTGCCTACGAGCAATCATTCGTCGGCGAGGTGTAAGTTAACGTCCTCGCAGGGACAACATATTGAAAGTGCCGACTGGGACGTCCATAGGACGATATTTCTAGGACATTGGAAGAGTACAGTTCATGTACCAATTGGGACATCCGGCGGATATCCCTAAGGAACATTCGAAGGATGTCCCCAAGGGACATTTCTATTGTTATACGATCTTGGAAATATTAAGGGCGTCTGTGCAGAGATATTTGAAGGAATGTACCATCAGGGACATTTCATGGTTGTCTAGAAGGGACATTATATAAGATCTGAAGTCATGCCAGAATATGTACTACTCGGGACATCCGATGGATGTCCCTAAAGGAACGTTTGAAATCATATCCCATCAGGGACATGCCAAGAAGAGATATTTGAAGGAATGTACCATCAGGGACATTTCATGGTCGTCTAGAAGGGACATTATATAAGATCTGAAGTCATGCCAGAATATGTACTACTCGGGACATCCGATGGATGTCCCTAAAGGAACGTTTAAAATCATATCCCATCAGGGACATGCCAAGGACGTCCTTGCATGGACATTCTACAATATGTACCACGTGGGACGTCTAAGGGATGCTTTTCTAGGACATTTGAAATGAAATACCAGTTGGGACATTCCGTGGGCGTACTTGCTCGGACATTGCATGAGATGGGACGTCCCAAGGACACTTATTTTTGGTTCGGGACATTCGGACGTGAATTGTACCAAATAGGGACGTCCCTAGAACGTTGTGTGCTATTAAGGATAATTTTGGAGTGTAAATTTTCCATAAAATCCTATTTGGAATTTCGTTTCAGAGAAACTGACCTCATAATATTGTAGACCGGGAGCGGATATTATCTTTAGAGGGGGGCGAAATATTCTCGGAAGTATTGACGCTCTGCACTAACTTAGATCAGTTTAAATCGCGGCATGTTTGGATATTCGCAAAGGCGACATCATCTCCTTCCATTTGCTTCTTGTTTCAACTTGTTATCACATGACAGAAGTATGTCCGAAATAATAGCAGCAAATAAATCGCTGTGCCGTAGATTTGGCTCAGACTGAGCGGGTTTTTGAGGTCTACCATTCAATTGGTACGGATGGCATAATTCTTATCTCGTTATCAAATCACGAAATCGAGTGCGAATTTCCGCACAGGGAAGTGCAATTGTGTTATCATTTTTCTCAAGATAGTGATTGGTGTCGTTCTATGAACTACAATGTTTTTACTTTCCTTTGGGAGATATATCATTTCGTTATCAGATGACGGTATAGAAATCTGCAGCCAGCTCTCTTACTATCTGTTTTTTCTTTCAAATCATCATTTTCTACCTACAGGAGCTACTGATGAACGTTCCAAAAATTTTTCCGAGACAGAAAATGAATAAAATGAAGCCAATGATTAATCTTGTTATTTCGGAATCAGGTGATTTTTGAGGAACAGTAATATGCAGTTAGCATTCCTGCAAACAGATCCCTAATAATAATATGATTTCATAATAAAACCAATCCCCTTTTATTCCAATAAAACACAATCTGTGGACATGCACTGTCCAAAAGGGTGTATGTACAGTCGTATTCAATAAAAAAGCGTACAAGTATTAAACATAGAAGATTTCGGCATTCTAGTTCTCGTTGTGTGAAATGGGCGTGTACACCGTAGTAAAACTTTTATCTCAAACCATGTTTATAATGATCCTTTCATACATAAATAATGATAGACGACATAATTCGATCGAAAAATTAACTGGAAGGTTTTATTTTTGGACATATAAAATAGTACCTTCTGAAAACGGACCCTCTTTTGACGTAGAAACCTCATCTCGCCATAGTTAAAAGAAAATACCAAACGCCCGACAGAGAATGAGGCAACTGATATATTAATTCTTTCAACTGTGATCTCGCGCTAATTCACTCTGTCAGAAATCATGTATCATTCATCTTTGTCTGGAATAGTCTTGTTTCAGTATTAGGGTTTTGACGTCACATCATCGCCACGTTTTCAGAGGTACGAAAAATCGGGGATTTCAATAAATTTTTATAAAACGTAAGAAGTTCACAGCAAGAAACGGTTTGCGGTGGTGAGCTAGTTTGGGTGAGTTCTATCGAATTATGAAATACATTTTTTTTTGTGATATAAGCCCATTGTAAGCTTATGCTTTGTGTTTTTGAGAACCTATGATTACTCTACTGTCAACAATTGGTAGACATTCATTCCCGATAGCCCGTTTTACGCGACTAGGATGACGCTTTGTTTTGAATACGACGACTTTGTTATTTCAAATAGAACACCCTGTATCTCATCGCATTTTCAGATTTTCCCAAAGTCGCAGAGATGAAAAAAAAAAAAAAAAAAAAGGACCACCCTGTATAAAAGCTGAGCTATGAAGAGGGAGCCGTTTGAAGTGGAACACGTTGTATACCTTTGAATTTGTGTATTTTCCAGATGTTCAGGTTTTCAAAACCACGACGTAACAAATGCACAAAATAAGCAATTGTATAATATTTAGTTATCACTTCACATATCCGCTGTGATAACTTTTAAATTCAAGGAATTTCCTGATGAGTTAACACCCAATGGAATAAAATCATATTACGATGTATGGATTCTATATAATATAATAAGTTTCGAATACTTCCAACGAATCAACATATAGGTGGATATCAATTTCGGGACATCATTTTTTCAAAATGCTATAACCATTTTTGTGTACCTATACGACATGGTGAGCAAGTGCAAACCTCAAGGCTATAGCAAGTAGGTACACTCGTCTACAGTGAACATATCGCGGTTGGACGGTACGGAGAGCTGACACCACGACATGTTCTCTGAAGACGACTGTACATCGCATAACACACCACTATTGTGAGTTAGTTTCTTCTTGCTCGAACTGAAATGTTTTTCTTGAAGTAGAGAAGATTCAATAATCTTTATAAATGAGCATTCAGATTCTGTGAACTGTTTACATAATTTTGAATCACCGGAATCACGGTACTTGTTGAAATTTGGTGAGTCAGTAATATTTTAATATTTTTTGCAGCCAGTGCAGTGCAAAAGAACTAGATCGAATTCAGATGGAACAGGTTTGAGGTTGATAAATCAAGATCCAGATTTTCAAGTGTTTCCAAGCTTACCAGACTTCGTTTTGGAGAAATTAGGACTCAGGGGAAATGGCCCAAGGTAAAAGAAGGTGATTTGAGAAAAATCCTCTTTTACGCCCTTGTTACATAAATCATTATTACTATAGGCAGAAAAGCACAAGATTCAGAATGTGTTCGGGCGGTAAAGTGATTTCACTTCTTTTCCAGTAATTTCTAGTGGCATATACCAGGGCCTACTCTATCATTCCATATTGACAGTGAATTCAAAATGTCTAAAACGCATAAAATGTTGTATGTATTTCTAACGTAACTCATTTTTATGGACCTAAGCCTATACTTTATGCCCTTGATACATATATAACTATTATACAAGACCGGGAGTAAAAGTGGCTAGCGCACGGCCCTAGGGCGAAAACGCGAAAATGCTGATTAAACTCCAAGATTTTGATATAGGTGTACTCAAGACCCACTAAGATCACTCGAAAAACATCATCATTGAAAATGTGGAAGTTTGTGTTAGGTCATCGTCCATACCAAATTTTGCCATGATGAGAGCTATATAGAGTGCGTCAAAAATGTGTCCCAAGCTTATACTAGAGACGATATTTAATTGAAGAATAAGTATAATATAGTTTGGTGAATAGACTGATGGTCCTCAATATATATTTAATTTCTTGGATGAATGAATGTTGATAAAAGATACAGGGTGGGTCATGCTCTTCTGAAGAGAACATTTTTTTTCGAATTCTTTTTGGGGAGAAAACAGAAGCATTCGATAGAGCGAAAAAAATTACACGAAAACGGCGTATACTCTCATCCAAATACAAAAACTATACAGTATTAGAGATGCTTGAGTTTTTGTGTGACTTGATATCAGTAGATACATTCATCAGTGATGATATTTCAGGAGGCCTCGAACTTCTTGGCCGGACACCATCTGTATTTTTTTTAAACATTCTTTGACACGCAATCTTTGCACAATCCTGAAAATTGTTCTAGAATTTGGAACATGTCGAGCGGGAAACATCGCGGCATAACGAATAACCTGCAATTTCTCGAAATATCAGTTGAAAATCGCAGTAATAATATTACTAACTAAAAACACTGAACTAGGAAATGGACAATAACAATAATGTTCATGTCATCAACTTCACTGTCACCGATGAATTTTTTTGTTATCATAATTATGTGACTACAAAAACTCAAATATCTCGAAAACGGTTACAATTTTTGTATTTCGATAGTAGTACCGATTTTATGTAATTTATTTTGCTCTATCAAATGCTTCTATTTTTTCATCAAAAAGAATACAAGGAGAGAAGTTGTCTTCAAAAAATCATGACCAACCCTCTGAAATATCCTTTATCAGGAATGTAGAAGTATATCACTGGGCTCCGTGGCCGAGTTTGTCTATGCGCTGAAATTCGCTAGATAGCCGTTGCACGATGCGAAGGAATTTTTTTTATACTGATCGAATCCGGCTATCGGCTCAGCATTTTTCTTTAAAATGTGGGATTCATGCTCGGATTCATAATTGTAATTCTGGCAGCACCTCGGAGTCCTAGAAGTGGTTAGGATTCCACTATAAGCTGTAGGTCCCGCTCTTCCTAACCCCGCACAACTTTCGACTTCTGGGGAGTTGGTTCTCAACTTTGAAGTAGAGATATACAAATTTTACAAATATCAGGAAAATGAATTCAATCAACATACATTTATGCAGGAGATTTGAATCTGTTGGTTTCTACCGATTAGAAGATAAGGGAGAAAATTATTTCAATTTTATCAACTTTGGAAGGATATATTTGCTCCATTTTGGGCCATCAGTTTGTTCATCAAACCATACTTATTTTTCACCTCCACTAAGCTCGGTACAAAATTTTGACTCGCCCTGTATACAGGGAACTATAAAAAGAATAATAAAATATCAAAACATGAATGACTCAAAGTCGTTTTTTTTTTCGACAGATGATCAAAGGAACTTTCTTTATTTTTTGTGCTTAATAATTTCTTGAAATTTGCCCTCAATATCATGGAACATAAAGAATAATAAGGAAGGTTTTCTCAAATAGCTGGCACCTATTTTGTAGCAAAAATAGTTTGGGCGGAAATAACATGAACCCAATATAGCGTGCAAAAATGGTAATGGGAATCGCCTACATGTTAATGACATAAATTTGCGTACGAATATGGAAAAACGAAATTTGCCTAAACATTCGTGTATGTTTTCACTTGAATCGAAGTTGAATATTTGTGCTGTTATTTCATGAATAGATAAGAGATGTCACGAAAAGTCAATGGCAAATTATTTTCTATACATGCCATTATCTCATTAACAAGATAAGTGTTTCGAATAACATACATTTTCCAACATTAACAAAATAAACGGTACCTATTGGTACCTATTACTTTTATTTTTCTACAGTATACCAGGTGGCGCACAATGAGACGATTCTCAAAATAGCGCTTTCAAGCTTTTTGGAATTCGTAGCTCGTTAGAGGGAGGCGATTATGAAGTTTTGATACCATTTGGCTACAAAAAAAGCAGAAATGAATTATTTCCGGATACATCGGGCTTATTCGACAAGAAAATCAGAAAAAAAACTGCTTCGAATGGCATCGAAGCACCTTCCTAATGACTCATAAAAAAATGGATTACATTTGACAGCCCTGTGGTAGCTACTCTTAACTTTTTATTTTCAAATGGCACATCCTGCTGTTTTTTATTCCATAATCGGTTAGGGTTTATCATAACGAATTCAACGATACCGGGTTTGATAGGTTTATTTCGAACGATTACGAAGTTTCCATAAGCTCAATGGGTGTGACGGCTCAATATTGAAACTTCTTTCTCTGTCACACTCATTGAGCTTTATGGAAACTTAGATCGCAAATATATCCGTAACGGTTTTTGACCAGCTAGAGTATATGATCCCTCGTATGATCCATGGTTTACCGGACATTCTGAATAAGAGATAAGTTTGGAAATTCGATTCAGGAGTGAGTCAATATTCTGTGAAAGCAACTTTGAGGTTTCCACTCTCTGTTCCAAGATTAATTTCATAATATTTTTCATTAGAGAACGCCTGAGTGAGGAGGAACTAGAACAAAAATTCACCAGCCTTGCTCTTGCCTTCACCATAGATGCTACAACAATCAAAGACAGATGCGACAGACAAAGAAGGAGCAGAGACCAGACCGAACTAAATCTAACTAAAGAAATCGAAAAGTTTAAAGAAAAACTATCATTTATGCAACCCCTGTGCACTGACTATGAAAAAGCAGAGCTGTTCTCCAATTTGATGACGCAGGTATTACCTGGTATTACCAAACATTATGATAAACTCACCGACAAAAAAAACAGGCCACCCTAAAGTTCTTCTGAACATTACTTTCGGTTACCTACTGTTACTTTATTATTGAATATAATTTGTTTGTGTTATTGATTGTTGCTTTAGCTAGTTTGTAAACCCCGTACCTATCCAAGTTGCTTTTCAACCTGTTACCACCCTCTAGTTAAAATAACGTATTTTCCAAGGGTTGCTGTTTTTCGCCGGTGAGATTTCCTAATTAGAAATACATTACGCTCGATTTCACAGATTATGACATGTTTAACTCAAAATCCTGATCTTTATAACGCGAAATCATCAATACTGACTTCCAACTTTGGTTTGTAACTCATGTATCTTAGAATTCTGACTTTTTTCTCCAAATTCCGACATAAAATTTGGGATTCCCACTAGTAATTATTGTGACTTACAAGAACTTGTACTTCAAAATATCGACTTGTAACTTGGATTTTTCATTTGTATCAAGGAGAATGCTGACTTATTGTATCTCAACTTCGACATTTTACTCGAAATTTAGTTGTAACTCGAAATACGGGTTGTAACTCGAGTCGTGTATAGAATTCCAAATTGTAACACGAAATTATGGCTTGTAACTTATGCTTATTAGTAACTCCAGAGATCTCGGAAAAGTTTTGTCACTTATTGTATATGTCGAAATAAATTTCACGTGTATTTCACTTATCTCAGACTTGAAACTCCGAATTACTTCTCCGGGATGATCTGTGATATGCGTCCCAAAATCCATATCAGTGACATCAAGATCCGATAAAACTCAGTTTGATTTCAGATAGATGTGATAATGAACGCTACTTGCCTAGTATCAATTTCAGCAGAGAAGTACGGATCAGTTCAACACGAAGAAAGGCTTACAGAATCTGTTGATTTGATGGTGAATCACGTTCAAGTTCTGAAACAGCAAAGAGATTCGGCCAGAAAACAACTTCAACACTCAAAGTGAGTGAATATAGAACCATAGATGAATCACACTGAATGAACCATATACAGTGTGATTTCAACTCGCGACAACCTTCTGATTTGGAATCCATAGACTGAGTTTCAAGACACAATAATTTCGATAATAGATAGTATTCAACAAGTTCTCTCTGAAAATGTGGACACGTCTGAAATATATTGAAGTGACAAAGAAAGGATAACACCTCGGTAAACACTCGTATTTGAATTAACTTTATTATAATACTTTGTTGCTTGCCTATTTTGCGATCATTTTCTGTCAACAAACACATTTTTGACCTTAAAAACATTATCGGATGCTGAGGGAGATTATAAGTGATAATTCTTGGAATATATCACAACATGTATTGTTATTTTACAATTATGCATTTTATTCATTTGCACATTTGAAATTTATTCACCCGTTTGTTTTATTAGCGAGACGAATCTTGTGTCTCTTAGAATCAACTTGAATAATAGTACAGTAAAGTTAAACATGAAAAAGGGGGCGTGCTTGCAAAAGGTCCGGTCGTTCTGAATTCTTTATATCCCAGATAACATACGAAGACGTCCTGTCTGGGACGTACAAGACATCCTGAAGACGTCCAGTGTCGGTCGAAGACGTCCACAGGACGTACTGGGGACGTCCGATGTTACAAGATGAAACGTCCCAGGGACGTCCATATTAAGTCCAAGTTTGGTATTTCATCGCCATGAATACCATAATCAACGTAGATTCGCCCTTTTTTCACTCAGATAGATAAACAAGACATTTATACAGAGTAGAAAAATATTATTTTGAATACAAAATTTGAAAAAATCCTTCCTACTGGGGGATCGATCCCGCGACCTCTAAATTACCGAGCAGATGCTTTACCAACAGCTCTACACAACACTTATTGAATATAAGACTTACCTCTGTTCAACATGGTTCAACATATGCGAGTATAAGATGGAAACATATACATTGAGTGCAGAAACACTCCACCAGCTCATTTCAATGAAATTCGCTATGAATCAGTCTGAATTTTCTGATTGGTCATATAAAGACCAGGACGTAAGACAATGTGTACATAATTTCATTTTTAGGTATATCCTCCGAAATCTCTGAATCCAATAAAGAGATAACACTCTATTTAGGATAAAAATATATATGCGAACATTGCCAGATTTACTCCAATTTCTCCACATGGGTCACAAAAAATCACGTGATTCATTGTGACCTATTATCGAATTAATCGGCAGCCAATAATAAGGGCCCTTATTCTTTCTCCATTTGATCACATCTGGCAATGTTTTATTGTTATTGGAAAATATAATAAATATAGAGTGAATAATGAATATAGAAAAAATGAAGACTAAAAATGGACGTCCTGAATACGTACGCTCTGTACGTCCCGAAGACGTACGGCATGGTACGTTCTGAGGACGTCCATATTAGGTTCCGGGACGTACGGACCCGAATCGGACGTAATATGTATGTACGTCCCCGGGACGCGATTTTACTAAATATACTGTACGCTAGCACAAACCACGCCCACCGAAATATCTCATCTTCGAAGTACTTAGGCAAAACTCAGAGACTATTTATCCTTAACGAACTAACCTATCCCTGATTGCAATATTTTTGAGGAAGGAAAACCGAATGGAGTGTAGGAACACATTGATCAATAATATATTTCAAAAGTTGAGTTCTTCATCAAAATTGAATAAAATGAGACTGTTTATCCTGAACGCACTAACCTATTTGACTTCAAATATTTTATGAAAAAGGAAAACCAGAATGAAGTGAAAAAACATTAGTGAATAAAAAAGTTGCAAAAAAAAGTTCAAGTTCACAGCGATTCGAACAATGGACCTTCAGACTGAAAGTCGACAACGCTAACCAGTAGACCATTTGGGTACATGAATTTACTGCGTACAAGAGATTGACAACGAGAGAACTTCAGTCGAATTCGTGCCAAAATCATAAAAAGTGTATTCTTGCGTTGGAGCACAGTATATTTAGTGCGATGTGCTGACTCCGAGTATATCGGTAATGTTTGGAGATATGACGTATTATGGTGGGCGTGGTTTGTGCTAGCGTGCAGTATATTTAGTAAAATCGCCCCCGGGACGTCGTGTGCTATCTGGGATGTTGTTAGGACCTGAACCAATATTAAAAAAGCCGGTTTGCAATTTCCAAACTGCTGTGCGAGCAGCGGTATACCCAAAAAACAATGAAATCTTCGGACTTTTTTCAGTTTTTGCTCAATATCTTAGAGAAGAAAGAGTTTGACCGGTATAGTCACCATTTATACATTTGAATTACCTGAACTAAATTTGCTATAATTAAAGGCCAAGATGAGCCCCATACAGCTATTGGTTCCCAAGATACAGTTCTTTGAAAATAGGCAATTTTTTCGAAAAAGTGAAATTTCTTCAAAATGGTCACGTATTTTGTGAGTTATCTTCTATAATACGCTTCCCACGTGAAATATCATATGTAAGAGATTTGTTTTGAGACCACATTGGTATCTGTAAGCCCAGCGGTTCTCTCGAAAACGGCAGATATCCAAGAAGTCATAAGTGGGTTTTAGCTTTGAGTATTCAGGGAATAATGCAAATGAACTGTTCTCACGTCTTTTTATTTTCTATTTATCAGACAGTTACAATTCATTTATTTTTGTTATTATTGAAGAATTGTTTGATGAAAAATGCAAAAGATAATACAGGGTGACTTTTTCAATATGGTATGAAAACAAAATTAAAAGTGTTGCGATAATATTAATCATTGATTTTGAAAGTACAGGGATGCGGATTCCACTTCTTGAATACAATGTTGTCCAATGTCGTCCATCCTTCTCATAGCACTCCTCCAATGATTCTCTTGAATGTTGGAATACCTGCTGATACATATTCCTATTTCAATAGTAAATTGCCTGTCGAATGATGTCTTTTAACTTATCCGTAGTGGCTGGAGGATCGGAGTAGACGATGCTCTATATCGCCACAAAAAATCGAGGGGCGTAAGATCTGGCGATTTTGTCGGGAAAGTGGTGTCCCCAATTTTCGAAAAACTCGCTGTGACGTAACATAGGAATCGTCAGATTTAAAAAACGCCATGTTTTCTGACAATCCGCACGGAATCGCCGCAATTTACTAGCGCTACTTCCCTCACAACTGTTAGGACAGAGCAGTGGAGCCCTGCCTTTCTACACGAACAGCTCCCAGGGCACCCTTTCTTGCATTTACATGAGATCTTTCGCAGAAGAGCAAGAGATGCGGGATCCATGGTGGTGGAGATGGGGGTGAGTCCCTGAGAAGACATCTTCCACCCCCAATCTGTAGGACTCAAGTTTACTCCCCGCCACTTCTGCACTTGGAGGTAGCACCTTGCTGCATGGTGGCCTGCGGCATCTTCCGTGGCAATCGAGCGAGGTTTTTGCTCGTTGAAGTAACAAACGTCTTATACCTCAGGAAATCCAAAGTATCCTTCGCGATATCACCCTCATATAGAGCCACAATACATTTAATGCCTGCTTCTCTCACGGCTTGTGGGGTGGAGTCTGGCCGAAGAAAGACTTCCACGTGCTCAGCCAGTAGTTCACTCTTGCTCATGAGTGTAGTGGATTTGGTCTTCCCTTGGCCAAACGGCGCTGAGGTAGTATCGCACCCGGTGGCGATTTTACTAAATATAAACTATTGCAGCACAAGACACGCCCACCATAATACGTCATATCTCATACTGTGCTCCAACGCAAGAACTGAAGCTTTCTCGTTGTCAATCTCTTGTACGCAGTAAATTCATACACCCAAATGGTCTACTGGTTAGCGCTGTCGACTCTCAGTCTGAAGGTTCATGGTTCGAATCGCTGTGAACTCGAACTTTTTTTTGCAACTTTTTTTTTTCACCAATGTTTTTTTACTTCATTCTGGTTTTCCTTTTTCATAAAATATTTGAAGTCAAATAGGTTAGTGCGTTTAGGATAAACAGTCTCATTTTATTCAATTTTGTTGAAGAACTCAACTTTTGAAATATATTATTGATCAATGTGTTTCTACACTCCATTCGGTTTTCCTTCCTCAAAAATATTGCAATCAGGGATAGGTTAGTTCGTTGAGGATAAATAGTCTCTGAGTTTTGCCTAAGTAAAGTACTTTGAAGATGAGATATAACGTGGTATGTGCTACTTTTTCAATCGATTTATTTATATGAATCAGCTACGTTGTGCTGTCAAAGATTAGATTTTGCAGGATTGTGCTGGGCTCGATTATATTTTGCAATGCCGTAGTAGGGGGCGTGTCTTGTGCTACAATAGTTTATATTTAGTAAAATCGCCACCCGGTGCATGCGTGGGTGAATAGTACCGTCCCTGATGATCGCTGGGAGTTCTGGTGGTTGTAGGAGTTCGTATAGAGAAATGACAGCAACCAGCTTCGCTCTTCGTGCTCTTCTGAAGGTAGACTGTTTCTGGTTATCGGCCGTTTTTGAGAGAACCGCTAGGCCTACAGATACCAGTTTAGTCTCGAATGAAAGCTTATTAAATTTACTACAACATCATTCCAGATAACATTTGACGTGGGAAGCGTATTTCAGATTTCAGAACTTCAGAAGATAGAATAGGTGACCATTTTGAAGAAATTCCACTTTTTCGAATAAATTGCCCATTTTCGAAGAACTGTATCTTGGGAACCAATAGCTGTATGGCCTTGGTCTCAAACTGTGACAAATTTAGTTATCTTCAAAAGTTTATGGGGTGACTAAAGCGGTCAAACCCTTTCTACTCTGAGATATTGAGCGAAATCTGAAACAAGTCCGAAAATTTCATGGTTTTTTGGGTGTACCGTCGCTCGCAAAGCACTTTGGAAATTGCAAATCTGGTTTTTTAAAATTGGTTTAGGTCCTCACAACATTCAGAATGACCGGACCTTTTGCAAGCACGGATGTACATCTTGATTGGACTATAACACATTAACTGTAAATTTTTTAAGGCGAGTACTACAGAATTCCCCAGATTCTTCATCTCCTAGCCCAGTACCATCTCCGAAATCTGCATTCCCCAACAAGAAAATACTAACTCAAAGACGTGCCAGTTTCAATAACGTGAGCCAATCAGTTGCGGAAAGCAGCAATAAATCGTTCTCAGATACGAAAAAAATAACCAGGAGAACGTCCGATCTGTCGCCGAGGGCCTCTTCTTTGCTGAGAAACGTTAGACCTAGCAGATTGGAGTTGGGGGTTGATCTGGTGAAGATAAAGGAAGGTTTCGTGGACCAGCAATTGCCAGTAGTAGAAAAATCTTCTGAGATAGAATCGGAAAATGAGTTCAACTTTTCGAATGCCGATGGTGTTTTTAGCCTTGAGAAGAAAAAGTCTTGTATAGATTCATCGAAATTGTCTTTAAGGTATTTATTATCTATGAACATTTTGAGTCATTATCAACAGTTTATGAAAGTCATTGCTGTGGTGGATTGAGTAATAATGACAGTGCGATTGACTAATATAATGTGAAATCCCATCATCTTGTCAAATTCAAATAGGTAAAGTACCTATACCTATTCGTTCTACAAAAGTGCAATGCTATACTGTGTGCGCCAACGCAAATGCAAGAAACTTACTCCCGGTGATGCCAACGAATTTTCGTTCAATGGCTCCGGTAGGTGGAAAATCATGATTTGGAAGAAAAGACGAGTTATTCTTTTTTATGCAGTGAAAAAATAATCATTCTTAGATTACTCAATATGTAAAGTATAATTTGTACTTTCAAATATACAAAAAATAGTTATTTTTGTATCTAGAGCGCGAAATGCTACTTTGGTGATCGAGATCCGATTTTTTTAACGAGTCGTAGCCGAGTTAAAAAAATAGTCGAGATGACCAAAGTATTTCGCGCTCGAGTTGCAAACAACATTTTTTCTACAAACGTCGAAAAATATAGTTCTAAAGTAAAAATATGCTTAGCTTGAAAAAAAGTGTCCCTTCGCAATTTGTTATCAATGCGCGAACCTAGTCATTTTTTTAATTTTTAACGGTTGTAGAAAAATGATATTTGAAATATTTATTACCCCTGCCATTCCATATTTATTCAATCTACTATCCTACCAAATCAAAATCAAAATGGCATAATTTATATATTTTTTTTTTTAGGTATAAACTCCAGGAGAGATTCCTTAGGGCGAAAGTTTCTATAGAGGAAAGGTGCAAGAGATGGACTGAAGAGGGAAATTTTCACGAAACTTGTAGATTTTGTGCTCTCATCTGTTTTTCACTGGGTTTCATAACTCTGGCGAATATTTATATTGAATTCAAATTGGCTAAAAGAGGGCTCTAGGAGTTTCGCACTTTTCTGGGTATGGCCAGCAGGAAATAAAAGATTATATACCAACAAAATCATACTGGCAAGAAGTTTTTCTAGTGCAAGGTGAAATGGCAGGTGCATGATCATTTTGGATTGCATAATCACGACATTTTTTGAATGTCGTTTTTTGAAGTATAACTGTTTTATTTCCCCTTGTATGCAGTTTTGATTCCAGATGTGGATTTATAGAAAATTTTGAATAGCATTCAAAACGATAAAACCCTGTTCATATAAACATAATGACAAACATTGTTCATAATTTAATGAGAACCTATTAAATACATGGAATGGATTACTCTTCTTTTCTTTTTCACCAACATATTTTCAAATATGTCAATATAGTTATTTATGTACAGTCGTATTCAATAAAAAAGCAAACAAGTATTAAAAAGAGAGGATTTCGGAATCCTAGTTCTAGTTGTGTAAAACTGGCTCAGCCTATGCTTTGTGTTTTTGAGAACCTATGATTACTCTACTATCAACATTTGGAAAACATTCATTCCCGATAGCCCGTTTTATGCTTTTTTTTGGATACGACTGTACTTATAACATTTGGACAAAAATACAAACTGAATAAAAAACTTAAACATAAGAAACAATCTCTCATAACAGAGGTATATAAAAATTGAATTTGATCTGAATCAGATACAGTATCTGTCCTTTTTTGGTTCATACATATCATTAGTACCTACATGTAAATAATTTTTTTTTATGTTCTGGTTCCCACGAAGAGGGATATTTTATATATTTATTATATATTCTAAAATTAATTTAAATAGAGCGTGCCAAAATATCATGTAATTTAAGAGTGTACGTTGGCTGAGTTTTGCAGACACCCTGTATATCTACGTATATCGTAAAGTTTGGGCTCCATCTGGCACCATTATTTCTAACCGTTGATTGTAGGAACCTGTAATTCGTACGAAGGTAACTGCAGTGACAGGCTACACAGAAGCAGAGATCAGTCACCCAAGTAACTTGAACACTTTTGGCCGGTTTTTTCCAATGAAAACCCAAATGTCAAATGTGAACAGAGCAAACATACCGCCAAAGGGAGCGCTCAATCAACGGATGGAAAAGAAATAATACCTAGCGATGATTTTAAAAACTGTCGTTTACTTTATGAGTTTCTTAAAGGAAACTGTCATGAACCACTGAAGAAATCTGTACCTCGGATATCTTGAGACGTGATAAAGGAAACTGCTATGTCATCCACTTGATGACATCTAGAGTTGGTAGAGTTCGCTGCTGCCACCGGCAACCGTCAAGTTAGATTTGTAGCACATTTGTCTATAATATTATTTATGTTGTAAATAAAACGACAAATTCCAGTAAGTTTTAGTGAAATAAGTATTCAACGAACCTCACAACCAATACCAGTGTCACTGAAGTTTCCATTTGCCTCGTCAAGCGAAGGTTTCTCGAAAACATACCACCCAGTCATCAGGCCATGCTTTTTCATGAAGTGTTCTGAACTTGTGAAATTTTCAGCAACCAAAACTTGTAAAGAATGGCAGGGCCGGACGTGGCAGGTCTCGCTGCAGATTTAGCTCGGGCTGTCGAACTAACAATGAGTCCTCAGGCCTCCCAACAGGACCGACTCAGGGCCTACCAAGCCTGTGAAAGCTTTAAAGAGACATCACCCCTTTGTGCAGAGGCAGGACTGTATCTGGCAGCTGGAGTGCAACACTCATTCATATCCAGACACTTTGGCCTACAACTCATGGAACATGTAGTCAAATATCGTTGGACTCAAATTTCTCAACAAGAAAAACTATTCATAAAGGTACTCCCTATTATAGATGCCCATTTCTTCCATGACATTGTTTGTTTTAGGAAAATGCTATGAAATTACTATCTGCTGGAGGTATAAGTGAAGAATCTCATATGAAAGATGCTCTCAGTAGAGTGGTTGTAGAAATGGTGAAGAGAGAGTGGCCCCAGCAATGGCCAGGACTCCTCTCAGAGCTCTCAGATGCTTGTGCTTGTGGTGAGATACAGACAGAGCTGGTACTCTTAGTATTTTTACGACTTGTGGAAGATGTTGCTCTTTTACAGGTTAGTTCTATGAGATTAACATTTATCATTCTTTCATAATATGATGGCTTCTAGACTCTTGAATCAAATCAACGTAGAAAAGACATCTATCATGCACTAACAGCAAATATGTCTGTGATTTTTGAGTTTTTCCTGAGGCTCATTGAACTTCATGTAGGCCAGTTCAGGGCCTGCAGTGAAACAAATAGTGTGAAAGCAGGAGCTCATGGTAGAGTAGTCCAGGTGGTACTATTGACTCTGACAGGTTTTGTTGAATGGGTTTCCATGTCCCATATAATGGCCCAAAATGGAAGACTGCTTCAAATACTCTGTCTGCTATTGAATGATACTGCATTTCAGTATTCTGCAGCTGAATGTCTTTCACAGGTAAGAAAATTCATGTACATAGTGTTATTGCTCTCAGAACAATTACTCCTGATATCACTATTGTTTTTTTTTGTGTATTTTTTGTAGATTGTGAACAGGAAAGGAAAAGTAGATGAAAGAAAGCCTTTGCTGCTTTTGTTTAATACAGAGCCTATGCAGTGTCTTCTAACAGCTGCTAGAAATCCAGGAAATATTGGAGATGAACAGCACTACTTGTACAAAAAGAAACTGATTCAAGTAAGTTCATTTCTGAGAATTGTTCATAATAAACTATAAAGAGTAATGTTTGGTTTTATTTTGATTGTTATCATTTTTACACATACAAGTTTTTATTTATGATGTAATTTACTTGGTAATTTACAACAAAATTTATCATCCACTACTGTTTTCAGTCATGTTTTAGATATTGTTGAAGATGTATTTGTCAGTGATTATTTTTCACATGTCATATGTTATGCATGATCCTACCTAATCATGAGGTTTTATATTAATGAACTTTCTTCATAAACATGTTCCTCATTAAACTGTCAAAACTAGTTGAGATATACTTGCATTCAAAATCTGTATTCTCTTGGATTACCTCAGCAAGCAATTGAATCAATTGCTGATGATGGACTGGCCATTCATTACCAGATCTAATTGTTTCTGTACATTTTACCATTTAGTTATGTTTATTTCCACAGGAAACCCCCTTTTCCCAAATGCAGTATTACAATTGGATATAATAAATGTACAATACATTTTTCCTACGAGCGTGCGCAAAGTACTACTTTTCCGCACTCATTTGCGTGCGCGAAGTAATACTTTTCCGCACTCGGTGCGGATATGGGTGTTATCCGCACAGCGTGCGGATAAGTAAAACTACCCATAAATCTCACTGGTATGGAACATTTATATTCATTTTAGTTGCTGTAGCTTATTGTATGCACTATAACAAGCTGTTATCCCTTCTACTTTTCAACCGTTCTTCCCGATATTATTTGTATTTCACCTCAATATAAATATTAGGAACAAATGATTCAATTTTCTAGCATTATATTTTATTGATGGTAATTGTTTGTTGTTTAGCTATTTTTATCCAGTTTAACTAAAAATTATTCAATTAATTGTAATTTAAGTTGAAATTTTTTTATTTCCGTTATCTGATATGAAGCCCATAGGGAAAATGTGATTTTCTATAATTATATTTTATTGTTATATGTGATTGTCATATAGTTACATTTTTCAATGAGATATTTTTTTTTATTTTCCCTTTTAACTGATACGAAGCTCGTAGGAAAAACGTTGTTCCTAACACGTGCGCAAAGTGTCTTTTCCGCACGCAAAAACTTATTCGAACTCCGCTCCGCGTCGTTCGCCTAACTGTATTTACGTGCGGAAAAGTAACATTTTGCGCACTTGTTAGGAAAATAACTATAAGACCATAGTAGAAACATATAAATAACCTGAGACTATGAGCTATTTTTTCAATAATTAATCGCAATTCAAAATAATTTCCCATTTGCTATGCAAAAAAACCAATGAGCTATCTGCATGAATTAAGTGTCCATACTAAAGGAACCTAGATATATATGCCCAAACCTTAGGCAATCAATCATACTAGTGAGTCTGTAAGCTCTGAATCATTAACCCACCAATTCGTTGGAAGAGCTACCTACAGACTGTTTCTAAACCTGAAATTTATTTAAAAAATTCATTATATTTTTTCGCATTTTGTAGTAAACAATGAAATAAGTTGATAACTATCCCTGTGCAATTATTTTTCATCCCATTCACAATCCCAATCCACATAAATTATCAATACAGTTGCCTTCTATTTTTTTATTTTTATATAGGTTCTGACAGGCCTCTCAACCCAACTTTGCACCCTGTGGGGCAAAGATGGCCTATCCCGCCCTGCCAATTTCTCAACGTTTTTAGAAGCTGTCCTAGCCTACAGTTGTCACCCGAGTCTTGCTTTGGCTCATTCTGCCAATCCTTTATGGAATGCCATGCTGAAAAATGATCAGGTAGTAACGGGTTTCGCCTTTCTACTAGTAATTTTGACCATGTGAATTGAAAAAATTACTGTGGAAAAATGTTTGAACAAATATTTCAGACATCAAGAATTCAGATTATTTTGATAAGGCAGTTATATAGAATACACTACTCAATACTGCAAAGGTAATTCTTCTACTTGAAAATAAACATATCGCCGAAAAAAAAAAACGGATAATAGTGGAAACTTTCGCAATAATTAATTGTTATTACGGATCTGGTGCTATAAACACATGGTTGTTCCAGGGGTAAATCACTGAGCAAAATCAACAAATATTTCAGACATCAAGAATTCAGATTATTTTGATAAGGCAGTTATATAGAATACACTACTCAATACTGCAAAGGTAATTCTTCTACTTGAAAATAAACATCTCGCCGAAAAAAAAACCGATAATTGTGGAAACTTTCGCGTTAATTAATTGTTATTACGGATCTGGTGCTATAAACACATGGTTGTTCCAGGGGTAAATCACTGAGCAAAATCATGTACTTCGGACTACCATTTATACTCGGACATACCAGACTGAAACTAACTGCCACCGGACTACACGGACAGCCTCCAAAATATCACGGACTATCACTAAATCATGAGGTCCAATAAATATAATAAAGCAATTTTTTTGGAATTTCCAATTTACCACAAGAACAAAGTACCGGAAAACCGTTCTGATTGAAGAAATGCATTCCCGATGGTGTCGAACATTGAAGAAATAATTTATCTAGGCTATCACATAAGAAACTATCATACATACATACAAATTTTACAGGGTGTCATTACTAATTGTAAATATCTCAACTATAGAAACCCGCGCTCAAAATATGAAGATTTACGTTTTGTTTGAAAATTTATAAATTATTTCTGCCTAACTAATTGACATAGCATTGTCATATTTGGCAAGAAGTGACAATTCTATACACCTTACTAAATTATGTAAAATAAACGTATTTGGCGAGGTTTTTTGGCTACTACCAGAGGCGTACGGCAGGGGCAAGTGGCTGGTTGCTCCTTCCCAAATTCTAAGCCAATTGCCATCTTATCTTAAATTTTCGATTCTACGTGAATATCATAGCGATGAATCTTGAATCTTGATGTGTATTCATTGTCTCAATGTTTTGGATCATTGGGTTGCATTCATTAATAATGAAGAAACTCCAATTCAACTTCAATCCATATTAGTCTTGGCTCGTTTCATAGCCTAGGCGTAGCCGACGCTAGGAAACCAGCCAAGGCATTACATCTTATTTTCTGCCACGTGAAACATATAATTTTTTCTCCAAATTCCTTTCAATTTCAAGCAAAGTCCAAATAATCCATCACTCTTTGTTCGCCCAAAGTCATTGTCAATTTTGATTACCAATTTGATTCAAATAACTTGGACAGTGGAACAACAAACTTTTTCTGTCTAGGCAGTAAAAGTACACCTTTTCTGCATGGCGATTGTCATTAAAAAGCCACTTTTAATGTAATTTGGAGAAAAATAACATTTAGAGAAAAATATCATTTGGAGAAAAATAACTATTTTTCACTGGCTTTCCTGTCTTGTAGAATAATCAGATAAATAACAGGAATAATTTTCCCAATGATTTTTTATTCCGCCATATTAGTATTGTGTTTGATTGGTATTATTTTCTTTATCAACAATAAGGTATCAAGGGACCCAGTGTTCTTGTCCTACATACCACAATGGGTGCAATGTACTGCCCCCAAGATCATCAAGTTCAACTATCCCACAGGAAAGAGTCCCAAAGATATGGGGGAGGGGGCTCTGTATGCTAGGCTGGATTTTGACAGTGAGGAGGAATTTTCAGGGTACTTTTACAGGTGTCGATCTGACATTCTGGACTCTTTCAGGTATGGCAATAATCATTGAATCAACTAAATTGTAACACATCGGGTAAATAACACAAAATTCAACATTTTTAGCAATAAAGAACAATGTGTTTTTGTTTATATTAACCATCATAGGCAGTATCTTATGGATCAAACACTTGAAATCTGTATGGTATTACAATGCGCGCCAAATTTTTAAAGTGGTCACTTCATTCGTTCTCAATGTTTCATTACTTGCAAGTTTTTTCGAGAAAGTGTGGTTAAGGTATTGTGAGTTCATTAATGTTTATGTACCTAATAAATCTTTTCGATAATATTAGATATTTGGCAAATAAATTGAATGTTCTGTATTGTACAAAAACTGAAAACTTCCGTACGGAAATACGGAATAAGTTACTTGAATTATTATGTGAGTCTACAATATTTTGTCAATATTTGTATCCTGTGGAGAAAATGTAATTGCATTTAGTGAAGAAGGTATGATTTTTCAACATCACAGGCAAGCCACAGTAGTGGCCCCTCTAGTCACCTTCAACTACGTAGAACAATGGCTGATCAAATGCCTGCAAGTGCCTAACCTCACATCGGGCCTGACAATGTCCGATCCAGTTTACCAGGAATGGGAGGCCCTTGCCAACTTCCTCGAGAGTATCCTCAGCAGGTAAATATTATATTACATACGTGCAGGAAATGCACTGGCCAACGAGTTTTGTACACTATTTTTCCTAGGATCATAGATAATAATTTTTTATGTGAATTATGAATGTTTGTATGAGACTTCAGTAGATATACTATGATCATGTTTTGACTCAGTAAAAGATTTGCATTTTCTTATTTTATGAAAAGGCAATGTTGTTTGTATTCTCGAATCGTCTTATTTTCTTCTGGTTTGCTCTTTTCGCATTATTTTCTTCTGAAAAAAAGGCGTTGTGAACGGAAAGTACGAATTTCAGAAGAAAGTATTACTTCATCGGAAAATATTCAACAAACGGTACCTTTGTGATTTTGAAAACATATACGGTGATTAAGTTAAATATAAACAGGGAAATATGTGAGAGAATCTCTCTCCACTCACCAGCGTAAATAATGTGAGGATTTGATGAAACAACACGAAACACCAGAACAGCACACGATGGCGATAATGTAATCACTGAATTGAATGAGGAACACAAAAACACAATACTTGCACTCATGTTCAAGTGAACACTCCGTTTGGAACGATAAATAATTCCTTTCGCGTATTTTTCAATTGCGATCACAAAATTCGACCTTTCGTGATGACATCTAATATAAGACTGTCTTGATTCACCACCTGGTCTCGAATGAATGATTAATAGGTTGAATCATACTGCTAACCGATTAATTTCCTAACAAATGATTCATCTATGACTAATGATAACTATGATGATGATGATTAAATTATACGGAGAGAAGAGATATATGGTATAGAAAATATATGATGAAGAATTGAACCCGAATATACTGGCACTATTATTTTCGAAAGTCTAACGATCTGAAAAAATTAAACACAGACTGAAAATATAATTTTGGCAAAATCTTTATTATATGGTCTTTATTTTTTCAACCACTGTGGTGCATAACTCGAGGCATAACTGCATAATCAAATTTTTGTTATCATTATTTTTTGAAATAGTGAAAATATAACGAGCACTCGAAAATATCTAAACTATTTGACAAATTATTCTATGCAATGAATTCTATTGATAGTTTACTCTATTTGACGTTAATAAAGTTGAAATTTGAGAACTGATATTTTTCTTGCAATGAAATTGAATTTTGAATTACGAGCTCAATAAAAATTCTATTTCAAAAAATAATGATGAAAAAAAAGTCTAATTGGATGCACACTGTTGGAAAGTACGCCAATTCATTCAGTTTTCCTGCCCTTTGCAGATATTTAAACATATCTTGAAAATTTTGATATACAGAGTGTTGTTTTTGAAAAAGAAGAAGTTTTTTTGTTTTCCATGAAGACGGATCTAGATTCTAAATTCGATTCCTATTCAATTTTTATGAGTAATATAAGTTGAATATACCTTTCGAGTATGAATCGATTTTACAACATGGTTCAAAAGTTATGAGCTGACCAGAGAAAGATTTTGCCGAAATCGAGATTACGTTATGTATCACAATTATAAAAGATGGTAGACACATCGATGTTTGTACATTTAAATCTGAAACACCCTGTATAGCCAAAAAATATGTTTTCATGAAATAATCTCGAATCGTCTAATTATCTTCTGGTTTGCTCTTTTCGTATCATTTTCTTCTGAAAAAATACCGTTCTGAACGGAAAGTACGAAAATCAGAAGAAAGTATATCTTCATCGGAAAATATTCAACAAACGCTACCTTTGTGATTCTGAAAACATATAAAGTAATAAAGTTGAAAGTAAAGAAGGAAATTTGGGGAAAACTTGAGAGAATTTCTCTTGACTCACCAGCGTGAAAAATGCGAAGCTTTGATCAAACAACACGAAACACTAGAACAGTACACGATCGCGATAATGTAATCACTGAATTGAATGAGGGATACAAAAACACTACACTTGCACTCATTTTCAAGTGAACACTCCGTTTGGAACGATAAACAATTCCCTCGACAATTCCTTCCGCGTATTTTTCAATTGCGATCACAAAATTCGACCGTTCGTGATGGCATCTAATATAAGACTGTCTTGAATCACCACCTGGTCTCGATCGAATGACTAATAGGTTGAATCATGCTGCCTACTGATTTATCTATGACTAATGACGATAATGAAATTATACAAGGGGAACAGATATATAGTATACATAAGATGAAGAATTGAACACGGATATACTGGCACTATTATTTTCGAAACTCTAACGATTTGAAAAAATTAAACAGTAAAAAATATAACTTACGAAAATCGCTAGTGATGTGAAAGATATTAACAGTCAGAAGTAGTGAAAAAATCTAGCAAATTTCTCGAAGAGTGTAAAATGCACAAGGAGACATACAGGGTGTTTCAGATTTAAACGCTTTCTGAAATTGAATTGACTATTCTGAAATACAATTGATGCTTCCTGAAATACAAGTGACTATTCTGAAATACAATTGACGCTTTGTGAAATACAAGTGGAAAAGGCAAAGTGATTTCTTTTTCCTTAATTTGCACTTGTAGGTTCATGTTATTTGTGGTGTCCTACTAGGCAGTACTAATGCACACACTTGCAAACACTGATTTATTTAATATATAATAATAACACTAACAATAGTAACAATGTATTATACTCAATAGCATGTCATATATCGGGCCGTAGTCCGTTCACGACTACCGATTCACATTCCTCGATATCTCATCCCGGTGAATCACCATGTCGCTTATCGACTCGTAGAGGCGCGCTCCCACATTCCGTCCTTTTTTTTCAGTCTCAAAGGTTCTATTTTCTCAAAGGCCTCTTGCTCCGAAATGTTGATGTCTGTGGGTTGTGGTTGTCGAAGCGTGCTCGTTGATGTCGCTGTCTCGCTGCTTGATGTTGTTGGTTCCCCGACTTCTACCCCGGATGCGATACCTGGAATGTTATTTATAGGTTATACATTGTAAACGTCGATTTCCCTGCAAAGTGAATAAGTTGTTGATATCAATTGTATACATGATAGTTATTTCAAACCGATACTTGGATTACCTCTAGGTTCTCCGGTTGTGTCAGTCGATACCGGTCGTGGAGTTGTCACTGTTGCTGCCGGAGTCCGTTTCACATGAGAAACGTGCCGCTTTACAGTCTTACCATCTCCAACCAAGGTCACCTCGTTTCCATTCCTCTCTATTACCTCGTATTCTGTATTATTGAATCTGGTTGTGAGTTTATGTGGAATAACCATATTCTGGAGCACTACCTTATCCCCAACGCCGATGTTACTCCCTCTTGCTTTCCTCTTACTATCTTCTCTTTCCTTTCCTTTCTGTTTATTCATTATGTCGTTGTCTTGTGCTTCCTGGTCAATATCTTCCCCAACAATGTCCGTTATCGATGGAATTTTATCCCGTATTCTCCTATTGAATAGAAGTTCTGATGGAGACTTTCCTGTAGTTCCATGCGGGGTAACGTTGTACATCAAGATAAACTTCTGTATTTCCGATCTGTAGTCTTGTTTATTATTGTGACATATTTGTAATCTTTTCAAGATGGATTTATTCATGTTTTCCACTTCTCCATTCGCTTGGGGCCAGTAAGGAGGTGTGTGGATGAGTTTGATGTTATTAGATTCGCAAAACTGCTGAAATTCTTTACTCGAAAATTGTCTCCCATTATCGGCTCTTATTGATTTCGGAATCCCCAGGCGGGAAAATAATTCATTCAGGTGTTTGATGATCACACACGAAGTTGTCGTTCTCAAAAATTTTATATCTTGGTATCGAGAGTAATAGTCGATTATCACCAACACCTGATCTTGGTTAGGTAATGGTCCCATCAGATCGAGTGCTAAGTATTGCCAAGGTCCGTCTGGAAATTTGTTCCTCGTCATCAATGGAGGTTTGTCTGGTTGGCTAACCAGTAAGCAATCTCTACATTGTTTTACGAACTCTTCCACTTGCCTGTCGATTAACGGCCACCACACCTTTGCTCTTAGGCGTCTTTTCATAACGTTCACGCCTGGATGGCCTTCGTGTGCTAACTGTAGTACTTGCCGTCGTAGGTCTGTAGGTATCACAATTCTATTGTTCCGAAGTAGGATTGGTCCAAGAGTGGTTAATTCTAATCGAAACGGATAGTAAACACTTTTATCTGCTACTACCCAACTATCATCATTGGATTTATCTATGGCGTACGTCAATTCCTTATCCCGCTTGCTTTCGTTTGTAATTTGTGAAATGGACATCGCCCTAGGGGTGCTACATTCCACCACAGTAAATATGTGGTTATCGCTATCTTTGTCAAATGTTCCGACATCATTCAGTTGGCATAATCTTGAGATAGAATCTGCGATGTTCGATTTCCCCGACTGATAAATAACTTTGAATTTGAAAGCTTGCAGTCGTAGTACCCATCGTTCAATTCGAGCTGGGGGCCTGGATGTGGGTTTGAAAATGGTTTCCAGTGGTTTGTGATCGGTGATCAGTTCGAATGTTAGCCCTGTCAGGTAGAAATAGAATCTCTCCACCCCCCAAACCAAAGCCAAACTCTCTTTCTCCGTTTGAGAGTAACGTCGTTCTGTTTCAGAGAGACCTTTACTAGCAAATGAGATGACTTTTGGTATCTCCCCATCAAATTGAATGAGCACAGCTCCAAGTGCCACAGGACTGGCATCAGCTATCACCCGTGTTCGTTTCCTTGGATCGAAATACCCCAGCGTCGGTGATTTCGTCAATGCCTGCTTCAGTTTTTCAAAAGCTGCTTGGTGTATTTCCCCCCACCTAAATCTCATGTCTTTCTTGGTCAGCTGTCGAAGTGGTTCTGTTGTTGTTGCCAGGTCTGGTATGAATTTACCTAGATAGGTCACTAGTCCCAAGAAACTACGCACCTCTTCTTTGGTATTTGGTGAGCGGAACTGTAATATTGTTTTCACTTTGTCCTGGTCCGCATCAATACCTTCGTGCGACAGTCGATGACCTAGGAAATGTAGTTGTTGAACTTTCCTGGTACATTTGCTTTTATTCAGAAGAACGTTGTTTTCTTGAAAAACTCTCAATACTCTTTCCAAACAGGCATCATGTTCTTGTTCCGTACTACCATACACGATAATGTCATCTAGATAGTTCAGACAATTTGTGCATTTAGTCAGTAAATTTTCAAAAATTCTCTGAAATATCTCAGGAGCTGATGTGACTCCAAACATCAGACGTTTATAGCGGAACATCCCCTTGTGTGTTATAAAAGTTGTAATCCCGCGACTCTCCTCATCCAATTCTATTTGGTGATATGCCCATTCTAGATCTAGACGAGAAAAATACTTCGCGTTACCGATTTTTGCCATCATTGAATCAAAAGTTGGCAATGGAAAATTTTCTCTCAGTATGGCCTCATTTGCTCTACGCATGTCCACACAGATTCGAATATCACCGTTCGACTTATAAGTTATTACAATAGGGGATATCCAAGGGCTATGTTCGTTCACTGGTTCAATAATGTCTCGTTGTAGGGCTTCGTTCAATTTCCTCTCTAGTGATGCCTCTACGGCAATTGGTACGCGTCTTAATGGCTGTTGGACTGGCTTAATAGACTTGTCTATGGATAGTTTGATTTTTATGTTCTTAATTTTCGGGAATGGCCTTACTTCCATTACACTGTTCACCCCTAATCCTAGTTTCAGGACTCCTAGTCGCTTGGCTGTATCCTTACCTAAGATTGATACGTCTCCTTCCTCTACTACAAGGAACGAAGTGATAATTTCTTTCTGATCCGACGTACTCACAGTTGTTTGGAACTGCTGTAGAACTTCCAGAGTTTGTCCTACAGCATATGGCTTTAAAGCATTTTTTGTTTGTGAATTGATGTTCCACATTGTCGCTTGTCCCTGTGTAAGGCTGTACCAGTCAGATCCATTAACGATGTTAACTTTTGAACCAGAATCGATAAGTAATGTAATGGGTACTCCTCCGACATAACATTCTATGAGTTCATCTTGCTTCGTAGAGTTTGCCGATCCAGAGTGATCAATTTTGAAACATTCGAAATTTTTATTATTGCCTTCGTGGTCATGTTCGTTCTCATCTGATTCTCCAGGATTCAAATACCGGACGCGTGATCCAGTTATCTTTCTCCTCTTAGTCGAGTTAAAATGATCTCGGTTAGGTTGTTGTCTTGTTTTGGTTTTACATTTAAATGCAAAATGACCCTGTATATTGCATTTGTGGCACTTGACTTTCTTTGCTGGGCATTTATCGTCGTTTCCTTGGTGACCAGTCCCCCCGCATCGGTAACAATCATTATTATGCGTACTTTGATGTCTTACTGCTATTCTGTTGACAGATGTACTGGGTGTGTCAGCAATGGACATGCCCATTACCTTTGACTGATCCTTTATTTGTTCATGGATTTGACATAAATCGATGATTTCTAATAATGAGCGTTCTTTCTCTAAAAGTTTCCTCTTGAGCTCTACAGGGGCCCAATTATCGATAAGTTTATCTTTTATATTAATTTCACAGGCTTCTTCAGCATTATTCCCAAATGAACATTTTGTTGCCTGCTGTCTTAGGCGGAGAAGGAATCTGTTAAGAGTTTCTCCCTCTTCCGGTTTTATGTTCCTAAAAGTATGCCTTTCGAATGCTGAATTTTGTGTTGGCGAAAAATATTTAGTTAAAGCGTCAACGAGTATCTGGAAAACATCGATGTGTTCGTTTTCATTATTAGGTACGATCGCTCCAGGTATATTGTAAGCCACCTCTTGTAATTGCATTCCTCCTAAGTGTAAGAGCTTATTCCTCTTCTTCAGCACATCCTGTATATTTTCGGAATCCAGATACAGCTGAAAAGCTCGCACCCATTTCTGCCACTCGATCCTGATGCTTGCCTTGTCGATTGTGTCACATAGGAACGGTTTAATTCCTGATGGCTCGCCCATTATTGTTCGACCTATCGGAATATACGTGATTCCTTAAGAAACATTATCACCAAGTTTTTTTTTTTTTTTTTTTGTTTGCCCGGAATTTGATTATAACCCACCCTGTAATATGGGTATGACTACGTTATGCTACTACTCCACAATCTACTGTGCTATTTTTCTACAACACAATTTAATGTGACATATTCCACACTCAATTGTGACATACCTATTCTATTTTATAGACAATATGCAATTGCATGTGACGTGGGTTACAATTGAATGTACCTTCTGTGCATATATGTTACAATCTAATGTAAGCTTCATGTTCACAATTGAATGTGAGATTTTCCACAATTAAATGTGCTTTCCTGTTTACACAATTGAATGTGATGTGGGTTACAATTGAATGTACCACCTGTGTATATGTTACAATCTAATGTAACACCCATGTTCACAATTGAATGTGAGATATTCCACAATTAAATGTGCTTTCCTGTTTTCACAATTGAATGTGATGTGGGTTACAATTGAATGTACCACCTGTGTATATGTTACAATCTAATGTAACACCCATGTTCACAATTGAATGTGAGATATTCCACAATTGAATGTGCTTCCTCGTTAACACACTTGAGTGTGTTATAAGTCACAATTGAATGTGAGTACCCCTCATAATTGACCCCATGTACATGATGGGTTATATCCAAATATAGGACATAATTGAATGTTATATGATGGGTTGCAGCTAAATATGAATCCTCTATAAGATTCCTGGCTTGCAACCCTCCATAAGTCTCATCCGAATGAAAAAACAAGAAAAAAAAATATTTTTTTTTTTTTTTTACCTCAGTCGCCAATTGTGGTGTCCTACTAGGCAGTACTAATGCACACACTTGCAAACACTGATTTATTTAATATATAATAATAACACTAACAATAGTAACAATGTATTATACTCAATAGCATGTCATATATCGGGCCGTAGTCCGTTCACGACTACCGATTCACATTCCTCGATATCTCATCCCGGTGAATCACCATGTCGCTTATCGACTCGTAGAGGCGCGCTCCCACATTATTCATCATTGCAAGTACTCACATTACTACTTTGTGTTTTAGATCAGAACTGGTTGTAAATGGAAAATGATATCCTAGAATCCTAGATCAACCCGGTATTATGTGAAAATAACCTGTTTTATTCCAAAATAGATTATGAGGCACAGTATAAACATGATTTTATGACAGTATCTTATTGTCTCCAACATAATTTTTATTATTATTTATAGGGTACTACAGGCCACAGAGAGACCCAGTATTGCTTCTGGTCTTCGGTTGCTGCAGATGTGTCTGGGATATCAGCCGGCTGATCCTCTCATTTTGTCGACTCTGTTGACGTGTATTTCGGCACTGTTTGTATTTCTGAGCATGTCGACAGGACAAATGGCCCCCACAGGTTAGTATCAGGGTTCATTTAGTGTTATTTAAAAAAAATCTGACATTTTCAAACTAACAGGAAAATAGTTCTCCATTCATGAACATTCAGCAAAAAAGGAAACCTTAATTTGATTTAACATACTCTACTAAATTAGGAGAGTCCTTTGACTCTGGCAATCTCTAACAGACCTCATAAAATTCATATCCTCTAAATGTATAAAACTTCACACACGATAGGATTTCCACAAAATTTCTCTCTCACATTAACTAAAATCCAACATTTATTTTGATAACATTATCAACATTGATATTTTTTATATTGGGTGTTTGAAATGGGCGTCTTGAAGATGTTTCTTCCTGAATGTTTGACATTATGACATTGAAAATATGACAGAAAATATGAATTTGCATTCATCTGGCCACATTATTTTTCTATAAAATGCAGGATCTTGATTAAACCTATTCAAAAAAATATTGCAAAAATGTATCCTACGTTCTCTGTCATTACCGTTCTCCAAGGCGTGAATTTTGCGGGGAACGTATGGCGTGAACTTATGTTTTTTCAAAATATAAAGAACTGTTCTTCGTGACGTACCAAAATCATTTGCAATCTCAATTGTACATGTCCTGGGCGTTTCTTGTACACTGACTAAAACATTCAATTCCAAATCTGCATCAAACTCTCGCTGTTGTTTCTTTGGTTTTTTGAAACTATACGAGCAGCATCGTACGAATTTTTCAAACATTCAAAATAAACTTGTAACACATCGGTCAACTCATTATTATTCATGTTTATAAAATAGAAAATATCATCACCCGTATTGAAAATTATTATTGGATGTTACTGTCACATTGAAATTGACTTACAAGGCTACCTAGATCTTGATTACTAATATCAATCAATGGGCAATGTTTTAAGATAAAAACGAATTAAAAAAAATTCCTCTTGACATTTTGATCCGGAAAAACTACTGGTGTATGTAAAATGATACCCTAAATCCAATAATGAAAAAACATACAGGGGGTTCCATTTTAAAATCAAAAGTTGGAGTCACTTCCGGTTAGACCGGAAGTGATGGAATAATTGTTTTCGTCAATAAATGAACAATATGGTATAGTTGCTACCCACCAAATTTCAAATTTCGATCTCGAATGATTCAGAAGTTACAGCTCTAGCAATTTTTTGTGCACACCTCTGTATATTTCCACCATGTTTACAGCGAACTCCGTGGCCGCGTCGGGCGCCGCCCTGCTGCCCCAGGTGCTCGACAAGATCTTCGCCACGCTGGCGTTCGCGCCCGAAGGGAGGACGGTCGGCGCTCGGTCGCGCTCGGTGAAGAACGTGCGTCGGCACGCCGCCTCGCTCATGGTCAAGATCGGCAACAAGTACCCGTTGCTGCTGCTGCCCGTCTTCGACCAGATCAGAGCGACGGTGGGGAGTTTGTCGAGGGCGGACGGGCCTGCGAACCTGAGCAGTCTGGAGAAGGTATGGTTTTTTTTTTCGTTGTCACTATTCCACTCTTGATCTCGAAAATCAATCGGAATCGACCAATTTCACGGTATCTCCAGTATATTTTTCCTACCAACTATTCTAATAGCGAATTCTATTGACAAGAACCGGTAGAGTGTTTCTGCACTCAATGTACAGTCGTATTCAATGAAAAAGCGCACAAGTATTAAACATAGAAGATTTCGGCATTCTACAAGGTGGGCCGAAAGAAGTCATCCGATGTTGTTTGGCTCTCATTTTTTTTCTAAATGAAAAGCTTCGATTCTGTTTTTTGATTAAGTTTATAATAATAATAATAATAATAAAGGTCTTTATTATTTTCAAGTAGTACTCATACATTTTGTGAATAAAAATAAACATATTTTTTGAAAATAAAGGGCGAGGTTCATTTTCTGTAGAGAAACAGTAGCTTCACTACGAAAATGCTCTTCCACTTAACCCTGATACAGTGTGCCAAGGAGAACATGGTGTGTAGCCTTTTGATTGACAATAGATATAGTGGGAGAAAAGTAACAGAAAAGGGATGAATACTTTCATGAATTTTTCTATAATTTTTGGGCAGCGAGGTAGAGGAATATCTAGACTTGTGTTTTGAATAATTCATTTTTATATTCAGATCTGAAGCAAGTAATGTTGAGGTTCTTTATACTTTCAGGAACAGAGTTATATAACTGATAAATTTGGTAAGTGAAGGATCGCCTGAATATTTCAGTTTTAAATTTAGGTGGGGATAATAAACCTTTAAATCGTAGATTTAAGTTATGTACATCTGTCTTGAATGATATTTTGTGGTGCAAATATGTAGGAATTTTAAATCAAACAATTTTGTGGTATAAGGTGACAGCGTGATGAATTCTTCTATTTTGCATACTCAACCATCCAATCTGTGTTAATTTATGTGATATTCTCTGATTTCTTCTCACACCATAAATCAGCCTTAAACAAGAATTCTGCACTTTCTGAATTTTGTTTTTATATACAGTTGTTAAGTTTGGACCATAGACGGGGTCAGCGAAGTTGAAATGTGATAGAACTAATGTTTCACATAGTTTTATTTTGATATTCCGAGGAAATAAATGTCTGTTTCCGTAAATTAATTTCAATGAGCTATATGCACGTTGAATCAATTGATTAACATGTTTTTCGAATCTTAAGTCCTTGTCGTAGTTGTAGTAGTGCCAAGATTACACACTGACCTTTATCAATTGAAGTAATGATGTCGTCGACTATACTAAGTAAGAAGAACCTTAAGAATTTTATTGGTCAAATCGAGGAGATGATATCGGCCAAATGGGCACCGCCACAATTGATTGCTATACGGGCACATTTTATGACATTTTTAATCACTTCGGCAAGAACTTCGGGCGACAGGTTCTTGCACTCGTGTCGAATGTTGTCCTTGAGGGCTTCCAGGGGGGCTTGTTCAAGTAAACACAAGACTTCGAAAATCATTACAAAAAAAGTCTGGGACGGTTAAATCGGGCGATCTTGCGAGCCAGAGCAAATCGCCAAAACGAGAGGTGAGGCGACCCGAGACGCCTCGCTCGCGCAGTGTGTGCCGTTGCTCCATCCTGTTGGAACCACATGTCCTCCAGTCCTAATTCGTTCAATTGCGGCAGAAAAAACTCGGATAACATGGCCCTATAGCGCGCACTGTCCACTGTTGTGGCGTCCTCGAGAAAAATGGCCCGATGACTCCTCCAGAGTGAACAGCGCACCATGCAGTCACTTTGAGCGGGTGTAATGGCTCCTCGTGCATTACTCGTGGATTTTCGGTGCCCCAGAAGCGATAGTTCTGCTTGTTGACGTACCCGCTGAGGTGGAAATGAGCCTCGTCGCTCATTATGGTTTTGGTCGAAAAATCGTCCATGAGATTGAGGATGGCTTGTCTTGGATTATTCCACGGTTTTGGGGAGAGTATCGCTCCATGGCTCGTTCACTTGTATTCTACATCTGTCTAGTTCACGAACGTCAAAACAGATTTGAAATTGGCTGACATTTGCAAAAATAAGAGCATCTTCCAATAGGGTGATTTCTTTTGGCCCACCTAGTAGTTCTCGTTGTGTTAAATTGGCTCAGCCAATGCTTTGTGTTTTTGAGAACTTATGATTACTCTACTGTCAACATTTGGTAAACATTCATTCCCGATAGCCCGTTTTACGGAAATAGGATGACGTTATTTTCTCCCTCCAATTCTTACTCTCATGTGTTAAACAAAGGTAAATATACACTCAGTGGAGAAACGCTCCACCAGTTCATGCCAATGGAATTCACAATTCTTCAATATTCCTAAAATTGACCAATTTTCAATCATTTGTAATGATAAATCAACTCCTACATGGAAATAGTATATTGTTTAACGAGCACGGAATGATAGTGATTTTCTACGAGAATGAAGTTTGCAGCATGAGCCATTGGCGAATGCTGCAATAATTTCAGTAGGAAATAAGCATTCAGTGCAAGTTATACACTATAATTTTTCTACGGCTATTATAGATAACAGCGGCATTTTCGATTCCTTCGTCTTGTAGCCATCTGTCAAGTAATGCTCATCTATTAGACAGAGCTGTCATTGCTTCACATTGGACATTCCATGAGCGATGAGATTTTTTTGAAATGATAACACAATGGTGTCATTGTGATATCAGATACGGAAATAATATTGATGACACACAAAGTACCTCATTGACGTATCAAACTGATAAACTGCCTGCTCCTTTAATCTAGTAGCTATTTGCTCCTGATGTCACTCCAATTTCTGTCTTGTCAAGTTTGTTGATGGGTATGGTTCACGCGAAATTAGCAAGATGAGCCGTTTTAGGAAAATTCCGTCGAAGAAACCACAAAAAAATGAGAAAATCAATCCCACAAACTACCAGTTACAGGAAATCATCAATAAAGGTAATCATTATTGTTGTGTATTTTTATATTGTCGTTGATTCATCTTGCCAAAAAACACTCGAACTTTTTTTTTTATTGGATAAATTTCCTTACTATCTCAAACATTTTCCATCAGTTAATTCTCTTGAAAAACTGACATTAGACAAAATTGCTCGACCAACGGACGATCTCGCAATTTTTTCTTGTCAGCTTTTCTTGTAAAATTACTGATCTGCAAATGTTTTCTGTTACCAAGACAAAATTTATCCGATAAAAATAAGCTCTTGTGTTTACACTGTTGATAAAAAGCTACAATAACTGATAAATAAGCACCTTGCTTTTAATCAACTTCTACAGGTTGAAACATAATTACGTTAACATATCTTAAAGACCTATTCCTCAGACAATTTCAAGATAAAAAATCTATATTAACTTGTATCCGTAAATGCTTCGTTTGGGAGTAACAGGGTGTTGCGTTTTTTTTCGTTATTTTAAAACAACGTTTGCAAAAACATAGAAACAACTGTATTTTGCACCAAATTTTGAATCGAGCTTTTTTTTAAGATGGAAAATCATAATTTCATGTCAATTTTCATATAATGCCTAGAAAGCACTGGATAAACTGTCATTATTAATTTATAATTGCTCTTTCATCTTTGACAGTAAACTTTCGACAATTTTCATAGAGAAACCTCATTCCCATACCTTTTTTGAGTTGAGTAAACTTTTGACACTTTTCACCTCATTCACACACAATTTTTGTTAGTTCAAAAAGTACACCTCTTGAACAACGCTGGAAGCGATCGTTATCAAAATATATACAATTTTCTATATCCTTGGGTGCTAGAGTGAAAAACTCCATTAGTTTGGTAGAAAGATTCCCTTGCTCTGGATTGTTGGATTTTAATAATTATTTTGAAGAATTACAAAGCTCTCAGTTTTTTATTTCTCTTCCTCACGAAAGAAACTTAGACTTACTTAGACATTAAACTGACAGTAGACAAAGTTGCTCGACCTACGGTCTCGCAAATTATTTCATTTCTGTTTTCCTCGTAAAATAACTGATTGGTAAGTCTTTTTCGTTTGGAAGGTAAATTTATTGAAAAACATAAAGTTCTCGTGCATTTCTGCAAGAAAAATCAAGGACATATAAATGAACAACAATAATAATTCACTTTATTGACGATTTCGTGTTTCTTGTAGTTTGCGGAATTAATTTTTTTTATATATTGTCTCATTTGTTCAGACCTAGTTTCCTCAAAATGGCTCATTTTGCGAACTTTTTGTGTATTCAATATCCAACAATTACACTTGACATGACAGAAATTGAAGTTACAGACGCATACTAAATGAAGTATGATTTTGTGGAACAGAAAATTTTACAGGGATAAAAGAGGATACACCTTCATCGTTTATTAACTAAACAAGAAAATTATTGAATCATCGACAAATATATTTCTTCAAGGTGACACTGCAAGAGGCGCTTCTATTGATTTCAAACCATTTTGGTGACTATGAGAGACAGAGCCAGTTTGTGGGAGAAGTGCTGAGAGAGGCTAATGCGCAGTTTTTGGATATTGTCAGTGCTGGTAAGTGGAAATTCATTTGTTTCTTGTTTCATTCTATTATTCAGTGTCAGGTCGGCAAACATGTGCCAAAATAAAATGCAAATCATTCTGTATTGAATGCAGAATAACACAGATCGTAATTCTCAAATTATCTCTCGGTTGCCAGTAACATGAAGAAGCTGGAATGAGCTACTGAATTGGTTTTGAATTTTTCACAATCACACTGTGTTGTTACAGACCTCAAAAGATTTTTCATACCATTTAGATGTGCTTTTGTTGCAAGTTTTGATCCAATGAGCTGCTCAAAGTTGTTAAAAATTAAGGCCTGATTTGAACAGACCATGCTATTTTGTTCGCCATTTGATATCGATGTTGATGACGTCAGTTGTTGATATTACTACGACAACCTCGCAAAAAGTCGACCAACCTCGGCCAACACGTTTGCCAAGTTGCCAATTTTAGTTGAGTAGTTTGGAAATTGTGGCATGCGAGTATAATCATTCCAGATATACCTCGGCAATTGAACGGAATGCACATTTTCATCCCATGGCAGAATGGCATAGCAATATATCACTACATTTATACTTGCTTGATATCGGCGAGACCTAAGCTTTGTGGCATGCGAGTATAATCATTCCAGATATACCTCGGCAATTGAACGGAATGCACATTTTCATCCCATGGCAGAATGGCATAGCAATATATCACTACATTTTATACTTGCTTGATATCGGCGAGACCTAAGCTAGTGATGTGAATAAGAACAAACATTCGTTGGTAACTCGGCAACCGCGCTCTGCGCTGTCTTCGACGTACACGCTGTGAAGCGATGTAGGCACATGTTACATACTGAATCTTTTTTTATGTGAATTAATTTATAATAACGCTTTTGTCTTATACACTCAGACAATAATAATGGAATAATTACAGCAAATAAATCGCTCTGCCGTGGATTTGGCCCAGACTGATGGGTGGCACAAGTATTTTTTTGAGATCTACCATTCAATTGGCATTTAATCTTATAATTCTTATTCCGTTATCAAATCCCGAAATCTTGTGCTAATTTCCGCACAGGAAAGTGCAATTTCATTATCAGATGACAGTAGAAATCAGCAGCCAGCTCTCCTACTATAAGTATATTTCTAAAAATGTGAGATTTTGTAACTTGAACCATCTTTTAATGCATTGCTATTCGCAGATACTTTTCCTTGGATGGGTTGTTGTGACCTTTATTTTCATGAAATCTTATATGATTCATCTGTTGACCGAGCATGACACATTAAATTGTATGATTTTTGAGGATGAGTGACGTATTTTTCTCGAGATTTCACAAAAAACGTATAGGTTGTTTATCGAATCGTTATACAGGGTGAGTCATGACTAACCAGTCATAGCCTAATGGCGGATAGAGGAAGACAAGGTGAGTTGATATAAATATATGTGACAAAATATATTCTGCCTATTTCTAACAGAAATACAGGGCATTATTTGAATTTGGGGCGAAACTTTGATGAACGATATTTCAGGAACGTCTTGATGTTTTCGCCTGAAATTCACCAGCAATTGCCCTCTACTGACACACCACACGATGGCCTACTATGGAAGACAAATTCCAAAGCCGGAATCGGAAAATTCATTTTCTTTTAAAATGTCAAAATTTCGACTTTGAATCGTATTTTTCAAAAACTTTCATCATAATCAGAAAGATCAGGAAAAACACTACAAGTGCAGCTTTTCAATTTGTACGGCACACTTCGACCGGATTGGTGAAAAAATATCAAACAAAATACTGATGTACGATTCCATGATTTCGTACTGGCTATTGTAGTCACATCGTTCAACAAATTCATTTCTTGCATATCGGTGTATTATAAGAGTTGGAAAGAAGCTCTATTCGATGAAAACTTCCAGGACCGGACTTACTTTTCTTGAAGAGACCTTTCAAAACATGGAAATAAGTACCTATCCTCCCTAAGTACGCACGATGTTCTCCTAATTAAGAGAAAACAAACATTTTTGTAATCTTCTACTACTGAGGAAGATGAAAAATTTCTATTAAAACTTCTATTTTGGGTCAAATATCTCGAAAACTGTTCATTTTAGCTCAGTTGAAGATGATGCAGTTTTTAAACATAATTGAACAATCAATTCGAGAAATTGGGAGGAAAAGTTATCACAACTTTCTGTGGGTAAAATTCTCGGAATGTCTTTCTGGTCAAAAAATTAACAATTGAAAAATGAAACCATATACTTACCGAATTTGAATGCATTATATTCAATTTTTCTTGATATTGCGAAAAACCTATTTAAATTTCTTCAACTTCAACGCCCTGTATCTCGAGAACTGAATGCTTGAAAACCGTATGTCCCTATCTCAGTGAAATCACGAGGGCTATCACCTGTCAAGCGTTGTCGGTCGAATTTCGCAACACCCTGTATATGCTCCCATGATATGAGACAGTAGGATCTTAATATCATCGCCTGATATGCTCATTAAGACGCCATGTGGCGAAGCAAGCTGACGCCGTACGTCGTCGATGCCATTGAACGTCTTAATAATTTCTGAAAGGTGCTTTCCGGAGCGCGTCCGCCTTCATATCGTTCGTCGGCCTCGACAAGCCGCCGGTGCCGGCCAACATGGACGACGCTTGCGGCCACAACCGCAGCAACGTCGTCCTCTGCGTCAACCTGTTGCTGGGCGCCGTCAAGCGGTGCTCGTGGCCCGACGACCCCGAGCGGGCGACCAGGGGCGGCTTCGTCGTCTCTCACACGGAGTCGGGCAACCCGGTGTGCCGCAACCCGGCCGCCCCGCACTTCGTGCCACTGTTGCCGCACGTGCTGGCGCTGATGAAGGTGTTCAACGAGCTGTTCACGAGCGAGGCGCAGGGTTTAATGCACGCCAGTTACAAGGTGAGATAATGACGACCGATTCAGAGTGAGAGCTGCCGATTATTGGATATAATAGGATAGACACGTCAATGGGCGAGTGGACTTATTATGAATTATTGGCATTCAATTACTCCACTGCGTCGTTAGGAACCTAAGTTAATTTTTGCAACACCTCTGACGCTTTTTTTATGTCTATGCGTTGTTCAAAAACGTTGAATTTCAGAGCTCATTTCAAACGTAACGTCATGGCCGCCATTTGGCGATACGTCGAATAAATGGTGATGTCAGTTTTTATCCTGTTTCGTTATTGGTCAGATAATCTTCCATTTCCACTCATGAGGCAAGGTTCTCAAGTCACCAACTATTACCAAGTTATCAAAAAGATGTTTGAGTCCTCTTGTTGAATAAAACATAATAGGAGGAACTCATGACATTATAGTTTAATCTTTACTCTTTCCAGCAATCAGCATGTCCAAATATTTCTCATTCTTCATAACAAAGTATCATGTGAATGTTGGAGACTTGGCAACATTGTGCTGAATGCTGAGAACTGACAAGACCACGCCCACAAGTCGTGCGCGAGGTTTTCACGTTCACCGATTCAAATGTCCTCTAGTGTGCATTAATATAATTCTTTTCACCCAAATTTATTATAAGCAATAAGCCAGTCAACTGAGAATTTATAAACTATTGAGTAACTAATATTTGTGAAGTTTTAATCGTATTTCAACACATGGCAACTGTGCTATGGACTGCCCATACTTACGAAATCGTTGCGTCAGTTTTTACTGGCGGTAAATATCTAGCCATTTGAAAATTACCGTGGTGTTATTGATCATTTTAGCAACTAAAAATCAACCGAAAAATTCTTAAAAAATATCAAATTGAAAGATTTTTGAATGATGAATCTATTGAAGAAATAAAGAAAAAATTAGGCCACTCGCTTATTGCTCCCAATTCAGTGGTGAAATTGAATCCACTCGCCTATTCGAACAAATTAAAATTGAAAATTTGACCTGAAACTGAAATATTCATCTTACAATATCAAAATCAAGCAATAATCGAGTATCAGGCAATCCAACTCAGGTCAGAATCAATATAGCGCCTGGTTGGCACGATATACAGGGTGTAACTCTAAACTTGTATCCGGAAATGCTTCATTTCGGAGGTATAGGGTATTGAAATACAGGAAACAAATCATTTTTCGATAAATAATGAGACCTACCACATACTTGGTTTTTGCAGTGTTCACAGCAACTCCACTCAGCGGCCAAGGAGCTAAGTAACATGCATCGATATAGATAATTGTAAATATCTCGAAAACGATCACCTCCAGAGTTGTAGAAATGTACCTTTTTTACTTGGGTGTGGGAATAAGGTTTTTTCATGACAAATACCAAAAGTTTACTGTCAAAAATGTTGAGGCAATTTGAAATAGATATTGACAGCGTACGCAGCGCCCTCTAGATGTAACATGATAATTAATACGAAATTATGATTCTCCACGTCAGGGTACCAAATGCCCTGCTAATAACTTATTTTTTGCAATAGGTATTAAAAAAATGCGAACAAAAAAATTCAATTTTAACACTGTATTTCCGAAATGGAGCATTTCGGAACACAAGTTTATCTAGACTTCATATATGGACTCTTTTTCTTAAAATTGTCTCAGGAATACGTCACTTGAATATTTAAACGTACTTATGTTACACCCTGTAAAAAATCAATAGAATGATGTTACTAGAACAATTAAATAGTTACTGTTTGTGATTTTCTGTGATTATATGACCTGTACTTCTGATATTAATAGGAATTTGCATATTAAAAACGATTTGTCACAAATAAATAATTCCATTGTGTGCCGACCAGCACATAGGTCATTCGATTGCCTAATTCAATAAGTGATTATTAGGGACCAGCTGGGACCATTGTCTTCTGTGAATATGAACACTCTTGTCATTGGTCATATTGAATCTTGCATTGGTTGTTGGGGAACTAAGAAGAATATATCAACAAATATCACTATTGTCACGTGATAAGGTGGCGTTTTTCGAAGGTGCCGATTTTAATTATTTAAGATAGTATTTTTGATGAATTTTTAGCTATTTATATATCAAGGGAGGAAAGGTATCCATTTCCTCCAGCGAGTGAAATTTGGAGGGCATTAAACTCACATGGGAGGAAATGAACCTTTACTCCAATGATATATATATATGATTTTATCAACGAACGACCGCAATATCGAAAGCATCATTCTTGAAATTATGCTTCAGGCGGTCTATCTCTCGATCCGAATAATTTTGCATTACAAAGGTATAGTATGCCAAGGAAAATTGAGGGTATGAATTACAAGTTTTGTACATTGTGTAGCTGCATTTGGAAGTTTTGATCAGAATATGAAGAAGCATTGGAATATGAAAAGGATATTATTGTTACTTGTTTCATAATAGTGATGAAGACACTGATTACTTGGATTGCACAGATTTTATAGGTATATCCACGCTAAAAGATGCATGCTGATGCCAATTCATTTTACCTCCCACGGGGGTTAATATTTTTATCCTCCCGAGTAAATTGCTAACTTTTTTTTTCTTAAATGAGGGAGCAAACGACAACTTTTGATTCATTGAGTAGATACTTTGATTGGACACATGTCAATGATATAGGTTTCAGTTTTCTTTTTAAATTTTTGCACTAAGATATTATCTTCAAAACATTGTGGGAGCCTATTTTAAAGTTTAAAGCGCCCTGAAAGTGCCTGGAAAGAGCCCGGAATACGCCCAAATTCCCGGGATACGCCCAAATTCCCGGGATACGCCCAAAGTGCATTTTATAAGTCATCCATAGCAACTTTGGCCGGAAACTTTCCAGGCACTTTCTGGGCGTTGCCAATTACAACTCCGTAATTTGACATTTTTTCAACTATCAGTTCGTCATTTTCTCCAATAGCAAAACACATTGATTAATCTGCTTGGTTAATAGTAAAGCAGTGTAGTATGAAATATTGTTATTATTATTTAAGCCAGTCCATATGAAATATGCAAATTGCAAATTTGTTATTGCCGCATACCGCAAATCTTACTCCATTCCATCCTTCCAAGGGCTGTTTGGCGCTGCAAGAAACGGAAAAACTGAACCTGCTGGGCGTCATTGGCCACCCTGTATCGGAAGTGGGGGACTCGCAGGTCGTCCAGAGTCCCTTGGAGCGGATGCAGCGGTTCCTGACCGGTCTGCACGAGAGCTGCTACCACATGATGGGATCCCTTGGGCCCTCGCTAGGCAGGGATCTGTATACGATACCAGATCTCGGTTTGGCCGTCGTCAGTAGCGTGCTGTCTTATATGCAAGTAGGTGAATTTTCGCGATTTTTATTTTTATCATTACACATTATCCTGGGTGCACATGTAGTGCTATTCAGCAAAACTCTACCGTTGCACAATAATTAGGTGGATATTTGAAATAAGCGAACAAAGTACAACTGAAGTGCAATGCACTTCCACCTAAGCATAATCGGTTATTATAATCAATTGGGAAATAAACCAGATTCTATCGTCAACCGTCTTTGAGTCAACATTAAAACTCACCACCACCAAAATCAACACTACATGGCGATCCTGCCAATTTAAGAATCCTGCCAATTTAAGAAGAATTAATTTTCATAACAACTGATAATACCAATTACGTAGAATTTTACTGCAGAATGACACGTAAAGTCACAACATTCCTAATTGACACCGGAGCCGACATTAGTCTTTGCAAAATAGGTGACATAAAACCTGATCAAATTTACTATCCAGAAAAAAAGTGCGAAATAGGTGGAATAACAAAAAATAAAACCGAAACCCTCGGATTACCAAGAACTTTTCTAGACATAAGTGGTCGAAATTTACAATTTGATTTTCATCTAGTGACTAACGACTTTCCGATTGCAACTGACGGTATAATAGGCCGGGATTTCTTGTCAAAATTCAATTGCAAAATAGATTACAACATTTGGACTCTAACAATTTATTTCGATGACGAAGAACATGTTATGTCAATGAAAGTAAAATTACCTCATCTAAACTTAATAAGAATACCAGCGCGTACAGAAATCATTCATGCTATCAACAGGAAGTTTAGTGAAGATAGTTTAGTTTTAAGTCAACACTACACACATTTAAACCGTTCTACTTGCTTGGGTCTGCACTTTTTTTTATGTTCTGGTACCCACGAAACGGGATATCCTGTAATGTTCAGAGAACATCGTGAGAACCAAGGGAAATAAGGTAGGAATTAGTGTTCTTCTTAAATTTCTGGAGTTTATATGCCTCGGGAAACATATCCCTTTTCAATGTTCCAGAGCCTCGCTGTTCGTTGGATGAACGAGTCTTTGGAAAGAGATGTTCTGCAGGTTTCCAAAGTGACCACGAAGGGGTGCGAAGCCTCAACTCGACGGGTTAATCTCACGGAGACTGCCAAGGGAGGAAAAATTAAATATAGCCAGATCGTCAACTTTTCTACGGTGTACCTATCAGAAAACCACAACGTGACATCATTAAAAACAAACAAATGAGAAGCCTTTAATGTCAATTCTTATATTCTATAAATATTACTAAATAGTAGTTGTAATTTGCGTTTTTTTTTTGCAGTATATACCAGACTACAGGGTGAGACCGATCATCAGAGTTTTTCTCAAGGCTTTCTTCTTCTCTTGTCCTGCTCCTTTCTATGAAGTAGTAGTACTGCCAATTATGGTCCACTTTGCACCAATTAGTAAGTTTCTATTAAACTTATCTGCTTATCTATAACCCTACGCGAAGAAAATATACGTATTATTAAACTAAAAATCCAAATAGAACAATGAGATTATCAACCAGCTTGTTTTTAGGTTAGAATTTGAAATTATAGCAGTGTCATCGTTTCAGATTTTTTTTTTTCAGTTATTGCATACATTCTCTTCTTCATTGATACATTTCATACAAATAATATATAAAGTATAATTAATTTTCTAGTAGGAATGACATGAATGACCAGACAGTATAATTCCTGGTATAAGATCATTCATGAAGTATTATCGACTGTTGTATAATTGAAATTACAAATAGTGAACAAGAAGGGGAAAAATAAAAACAGTGAAAAAAAAAGAAAAAAGGAATCATAGTCTTTCAGCTTTGATCATTCCTTTGCATATAAATATATTTCTTAACTTTATTTTTGAATTGCATAATATTTGGTCTGTTTTTGATATCATCTGGTAATTTATTGAATTTCGAAATCGCCTCATGTGTAAACTTTTTTTGCCCAAGTTTAGAATTTGCAGCTTCAAGATGAAACAAGTTATATTGTCTAGTGTGATGATCATGAATTTCGGAATTCCTGATTGATATAAAATTTGATTTAAACTTTTTGTTGATGATATAATAGGAAATTTTTAGAGTATTGATTAAAAAGTGCTCTTCCAAAGAAAATCTGTTTGTTTCCTTATACAGTTGATTCGTTGGAGTATCATATGGAAGACGATATAATATTTTCAATACCTTTTTATATAGAACAGAAATTTTGTTGAAACTATTTTTGGAACAAGATCCCCAAATATTAATGAGATAGTTATTTCGACTGAGTATATGTGAATAGAGAATGATATTTGATGTATATGTACTAAGTTTAGGACATCTTCTCAAAGCACCAATAATGTTCATTTTAAATAGTCTTCTAGTCGAATTGATAAAAGTACTCAAAAGTAATTTGAGGTCGGGGCTTGGGATAGGGAATTGAAGCTATTGAGCTTAAATCAGTTTTCACGGCACTTCTAGTTGAACTGGAAATTATATGTTAGGGGTTGTTGGTATCTACAAAAATAACCTTGTGAAAAATGTTGAAAATGTCCTACAATCTCATGTATGGTCTATAAAATATATGCCGGTAATCGTATTCCCAATTTTAATAGGCACTTGGTACTTGTTACATAAAAATAAATAGCTCGTGCCTGGCCATTTGTTCACAGTTCTGGCACGGTTACACACCAAATGGCAGCAAGTGATCGAATTCCGCAACCGAGAAGCACAAGAAGACAATGCTGACACCCAGGAAGTCCTTGAAGACATCTTGACCAGAGCTTTAACACGAGAGTACCTTGATCTCCTCAAGGTAATGATAATGAATCGGTTTGTTTCAAGGTGGTTTTACGATGTTGAAATGAGTCTCTTTAAACTTACATCATCTAAATGAAGTAACGAGAACATCTAGTTGATGGTAATTTTATGTAATGAAGACAGCTGTGGCGCCACCTTAGGTAATTCAGGATCTTGCTCTGCTCAAATAATGCTTTGATTTGAATACTGTAATACAAAAGCGAATGAAAACACTATTTATTGATATAAGGCAAATATTTTGTATCTTTCACAACTTGCTTTACAATGTTGGCGTGTTTTTATGTTTCCTACTAGTAGTCCATATCGCATTTTAATCCTCTTAAGAACCAGTTATGTCTTTCCACTGAAATTTTGTATCTTTATCGAATCGACTCATAGTGTTACGCAGAAGACTAAAACGACGATGTCATTCGTTGTCAAGTCACTGAATAGCAAAAAATCTGAAGGGTATCTCCCACGCAGTAATGAATTCGCGCCTTCGAAGTGCCAACCTGATGTTAGGTTTGATATTTGTAATTTTCATTCCATTTCCCAGAAGACGTATTCTAATAATTAATATCCAAGTAACCAACGTGTAGAGTCTCATGTCTGGTTGTTGGATATTTTGTATCCAAGGGAAACCTGGTGCGCTTATCATTGAGCAGTAAACAAACGGGTGTAACAAAACATCAGAGGTGCCGACAGTAACTGCGATTTTTTCAATATGTTACTAAAGCAATAGTTATTTATGTATTAAGGGAATTATGAGGGCCTTAATTACCGATGGCAAAGTTTGCGTCCCGAAGGCCTCTGGCCCGAGAGACAGCAATTGCCAGAGGTTATTGAGGCTCAGTAATTCCCGTGATACATAGATAATTTTATTTCTGACTGATTTCATTCATTAGATACCTTCCCGATTGGAAGTTAGACATGTTTTTCCGTATAGTTTCAATGTCATCAGAACGTCAGATGATGATCTTGACTACCGCGAATAGGAGATTCCTTATTGCTACGTTATTGCGTGGTTGTTGCTATGCATTTCTTATTTAATTTTAGCTAGAGGGAATTATAGCATCTATAACATCCCAAGGGAGTTATGACCCTCAGTATAGATATCGTAAATATGACGATATAAGCTTATAATGTCACTGTCAGAAATAAAATATATAATTTCCATACCAGGAATGCTTAATACATTTATTATAAACGTTTTAATTTAGAAATGAGATATCTATTTTTTTTATTTTAAACGTATTTTTATAGTACCTAAAGGACCCCGCACCGTAACAGGGGGGAAATTGGCTGTTGGTGAACTTGTTGGAATTTCCATGTATTCTAGAATTCGTGATGCTGATCAGATGTCCCAATTTTCAACGCTTTAAACTCAATAGTTTGTATCATACAGGGTGCTGAAGTTGACTTTTTTAAAATTTCGAACGGCCATTGTGAAGTTTCCTTTTCGAATAACGAAACCAAATTGACTTCGTTGGATTTGTTTGTGGCCGGTGAAAATCCACTATGTAGAGTTCAATGATACCTGCACGTACTGAACATATACAGAGTTGGTCAAAAAATAGGAAATGTTCAAATTATTTCCGAAAAAGTGAGCGGTGGAAATTAATGTATTTTTGAACATTTTGTAGTATTCTAATATCAACATTGGTTCTGAATAATTGCATCTCATGAATCAGACTTGCATGTTATTCACAAGATGTTTTATTTTCCATGAAACCGCACCCGTTTTGCTATTCTTATCCATCAAATGATTGGAATCCTGTAAAACTTGGTGAGGAACTTGATCATTTCTGCAAATACCGGAAGTATACAGGGTGGTTCCGAAAGTAGTGACCATTGCTAATGATTTCCTAGTGTAGTATCCAGTAATTATGAATAAACGGATCAGAAAGACATGAGTGAATCATCACCATCGCAATGCGGATAGGTTGAAATAATGATAAGGAGATTTTAGTGTCTGGACGATCGGACAGTGTACATCGGTGTTTAATTGTGTTACCCAATCCCAGTATATTACAGTGGCGACGAGTGAAAATAATTTGGAATAAGTTGATTAATCAGGGTGAGTAGAAGAAATATGCAAAAGACATCTGAACCTAGCTCGCCCAGTTCTAGTTTGTAGAGTGAAATATACGCTCAGTCCACAATATGAATCATAGAATGAAAAACCGTTGACATGGTGACGTGCAGCAATTATTGAATACGGGTCGATTCTGAATGCAGTCAATTTCATATTTTTCAATTCGTCACATTTGAATGAAATACTTTGGAAGCTTGAACTGGGTATGATAGATTATCAGACAAGGGTCACAGACCTGGACCAGGATGTCCGAAGACCGATGTGTCATGAATAGGCCACAGGCCTGAGTGAAAACTCGAACAGACGAAATGTCTGAGGGTCACAGACCTGGACCAGGATGTCCGAAGACCGATGTGTCATGAATAGGCCACAGGCCTGAGTGAAAACTCGAACAGACGAAATGTCTGAGGGTCACAGACCTGGACCAGGATGTCCGAAGACCGATGTGTCATGAATAGGCCACAGGCCTGAGTGAAAACTCGAACAGACGAAATGTCTGAGGGTCACAGACCTGGACCAAGTCCGAATACTGTAGGTCCTGAAACGGCTACAGGTGTGAGCGAAAGCTCAAATAGAGGGCACCAATGGGCACTCTTAATTATATATATATATATCATTTCTAGACGCGATGAACCAAAATACCTGTAACATTAGTCAATTCGATGTCGAGGGAGACATTTGTTCAGTCGGCCTTTGTTGGGAGAAATGGAAAAGAGCGTTTTCTATTTACATCGAAGCTGCCGGTATTGGAAACCCCTCGAAGAAAAGCGAACCTTCTACATCAAGGTGGATTAGGATTGCAAGAAATATTTTATAACATACCAGGAAGGAGTGGATGTCTACGAAGTAGCCATCACAAAACTTGATAAATATTTCTCACCATAACATAGCGGAGTTTATGAACGACACGTTTTTTGTCTGATGAAGCAAGAAGAATGAGAAGGAATCGAGAAATTTCTCTTGAGACTTAGAAATCAGGCAGGAAAATGTAAATTTTCCAATATAGAAGAAAATCGAATAGACCAAATAGTGAAAAAGGGTAACTCAATCAAATTACGGAAGAAAATATTAGCAGCTGTGGACTCGATAACTCTAGAAAGGGTGATCAACGAGGCTACATCTCTAGGGCTACATCTCTAGAAACAGTAAATAGAGAACTGGGAGGATTTCACGAAGTTCTTCAGGAAACGGCGACCAAGTAAATGCTTTGAATTCAAGGTTTGAAGGTAAATCAAAACAAGCCTGTACTAGATGTGGTCGCAGTAATCATTTTTCTAACGACTCAAAATATCCAGCTAGACGGCAGAATTGTAATAAATGCAACATACCTGGACATTTTGCAGCATATTGTAGAACACGCCAGCCAAAATCAGAAGTTTCCAAAAGGAAAAATGAAGAATTATTGAGGAATTACTTTTCAAAAAATAAAAAACCAAGACAATCTGGAGTTCGTTTCATCACAGAAGATTCACACTCGGAAAATGAAATTGACCATGTTTTCCATATATACCAAGATGAAACAATAACTTGTTCATTAGGTGGGGTAAAGACAAAAATTTTGATAGACTCCGGGAGTAAAAGTAATCTTATAACGGATAAGACCTGGGAATACTAGAAAGAACATAATGTTCAAATCATTTATCAAGAAAAACATCCTGAAAAAATGCCTATGGAAGCAATAAACCTGTAACGGTATTAGGTGCTTTCGTATCCAAAATAGGAATAAATAACAAACATTTAGATGCCACATTTTATGTAATCAAAAATGATACAAATAATTAATAGGAAAAGACACCTCAAAAGATTTAGGAGTCTTGAAAATCAGGTTGGAGTCGGTGAACAACGTGTCCACCTTCCCTAAATTCAAAAACGTTCTCATTGATATTCCAATCGATGAAAACGTCAAGCCAATTCGTCAACCATATAAAAGAGTACCTACCCATCCCCTTAGAAACGAAAGTCAACACCAAAATGAGAGAACTATTAGACTCCGACATAATTGAAGAGGTGGTCGGTCCATCCAAGTGGGTTTCTCCCCTCGTTCCAGTTTTAAAAGGAAACGGTGAGGTTAGGATATGCGTAGATATGAGAGAAGCTAATAAGGCAATCATCAGAGGGAACTATCCTCTCCCAACTATGAACGAACTCCTCCCAATATTCAGAAATTCTCAACTGTTTTCCAGATTAGACATAGAGAATGCTTTTCATCAATTAGAAATATCACCTGATTCACGTCATATCACAACTTTCATCAGTAGTAATGGTCTGTTTCGATATTAGAGACTGGTGTTTGGAATATCTTGTGCACCTGAAATATTCCTGAAAACATTAGAACGAATTCTTCTGAAGAGTGAAGGCACTGTTAATTCCATAGACGACATTCTTATATTTGGGAAAGATGAAACAGAACACAACTCTAGACTACGTTTCACATTGAGAACATTACGCAAAAATGATATTTTATTGAATGAGGCGAAATGCCTGTATGGAATGAAAAGTTTCCAATTCTTGGGTCATACTTTATCGATCAATGGAATCACACCTCTTGATAGCTATGTGGGGGTCATAAAAACGTTCAGATCACCAAAAACCGTAGACGAGATTCAAAGTTTCTTAGGCCCCATCAACTATGTGGGCAAGTGGATACCAAACCTAGCGACATTAACAGAACCATTTCGACACATACTGAGACTGAAATTAGGAAAACATGCAAACATTGAAACTCATTGAAAAGACGAACAACGAAAGGCATTTGAACTAATCAAACAAATATCAACAAAAATCAAATCACTGGGATACTATAATCCAACTGACAGTGTATTCAGTTTGACGATAGGGGACCACGAATCATCGGATATAGAAATAAAAGTCTGACAAAATGCGAAAGAAGATACTGCCAGACAGAAAAGGAAGCGTTGGCTCTTGGCTGGGCGGTCGAACATTTCAAAGCGTATTTGTATGGCAAGGCGGAGTTCGAGTTAGTGACTGATCATAAGCCTCTCGAAGTCATTTTCGGATCAAGATCCAAACCCTATGTACGCATCGAAAGATGGGTCCTTAGACTCCAGTCCTACAGTTCCAGAATAGTTTATAGACCAGGTATATCGAATATAGCTGATTCGTTATCAAGGCTTTGCATCATAGTTCCATCTGAACCTTTCGACAAAGAAAGCGTTCACTAATTGATAGAATATTCACGACCTGTAGCAATTTCTTTGAACGATATCAAACATCATTCGGAAATAGATGAGGAATTCGCCAAAGTGAGAAGGGATTATTTGAAAACCACTGGGACCAGTCGACTAACGTTTATAAAATATTCCAATCAGAATTATGTTATCAAGACGGAATTCTTCTGAGAGGAAACAAATTCGTGATACCAACAAATCTGAGGAAAGATGTTTTATTGGCAGCACATGAAGGACATCCAGAAATTTCAGCAATGAAAGGCAGATTGCGAACAAAGATTTGGTGGCCTAAGATCGATAGCGACGCAGAAAAACTAGTCAAGTCTTGAAGAGGATGTATCTAAGTATAGACACCATTACGACCTAACCCTATGAAGCGACGGGAATTACCATCCAAGCCACGGGTTGATATTGCTATCGATTATCTGGGCCCTCTTCCTGGTAAATATTTCATTAGTAGTGATTGATTATTATAGCCGCTATGAAAAGATCAAAATCACGAAGGACACAACTACTAGGAAAACAGTGGATTTACTCCAGGAGATCTTCTCTCGAATTGTCTATCCGTCATCGATAACAGCCGATAACGGTAAGCAGTTCGCAAGCCAAGAACAACATCAATTCTGCCATCAACGTGAAATAATCGTTTTCCGTAGCATACCATATTGGCCTCAACAAAATGGAGAGGTCGAAAGACAGAACCGAAACATTTTGAAACGAATCAAAATAAGCCACTCGCTGAAACAGGACTGGAAAAAGGAGCTCCTAGATTATCTAGTAATGTACAACAGCACCCCACACACGGTGACCGGTAAAACTCCGGGAGAACTTTTTACGGCCGACAGTTCAGAGATAAAATCCCAAGCCTCATAGACCTCGAAGATAATGAAGAGAGCAACGAAGTAATAGACAGAGATAAAATTGAGAAGGAAGAAGGTAAAGAATATAGCGACAATAAGAGGAAAGCTCAGGACGATTCTCTCCAAAAAGAGGATAAGGTTTATGTGAAAGAGATGCAGAGAGAAAATAAAACCTATCCAAATTTCACACCAGCCTCCATACAATCATTAACAAAAATGGAACAGATGTGGAAGTCAGAAACGATGAAACAGGACAGAACCTGAGAAGGAACATAGTCCACCTGAAGGAAGTCAAAGGAGAATGGACAGTACTACCGAAAGAATACGATACTGTATGAGCAGACCAACTGACTTTGGCTAGTAGCTTTCATTCAAATCTCATATTTGTATATAACTGTTACTATTATTATAACCTATCATTGTCACTATCAGGATTATTATTAGAATTAGTAGTTATATTATTATTATCATTATTATTATTGTTATAAGGATGGATATCGTCAGTGTTTCATGTTATTATCATTAGGATTGTACTTTTATTCAAGTAGTATCATTGATATGTCCTAATCGGAATAAGTATTCCTTCACATACATTGAAAGTGCTGAAAACAAGGGAGAGATGTAGTATCCAGTAATTATGAATAAACGGATCAGAAAGACATGAGTGAATCATCACCATCGCAATGCGGATAGGTTGAAATAATGATAAGGAGATTTTAGTGTCTGGACGATCGGACAGTGTACATCGGTGTTTAATTGTGTTACCCAATCCCAGTATATTACACCTAGAATAAGTGATAATCGATCCAATTCTATACAAATCTTCTGGGTTATTCCTTTTCAATTCTGTTTGACAGAACCACATAAATATTTGGAAATTAATACTATACCACTAGTACAAATATCAAAATGTGGCTTCTAGAGGATGCCCACATGAAATTCAACTGTATGTGACAGTCACTGTCACTTTTTCAACTTTCCATGGGAACAATGAGCCCGTTTCATTAATTTAAGCTTCCAGTTAAATGCATGAGCTGGCATGTGTAAGAGAGTATCGTATCCAGGAGCTATGTACATATACGCCCTGTATAGTGCTTCTAGATTAATGAGTGTTGATCTTGTAATGTCTGTCACTTATGAGGTGTAGGGTGAATATCAATAAAACACTTTTGTACTCGATGACACCTTTCACTCCGCCCGACCGTCCGATCACAACTGCCTTCTTGTGCTGATGTTACCTAACGGCCCAACATCACATTCGGTGATTTATTCAGATTAATCATTCACATGATAATATATTGAACATTAGTCATTTATATGAAATACTACAGATCTATTGATGACACTAGGGGTTATGTAAAAGGTGACGAGTAATTTGGGTAGAATTTATCGATGTATGAGTAATATTAGGTAGTTAAGAAGTAACCGTGATACGGCTAGGTTGTATCTGATACCTATTGTGAATATAGTTGAAATCGTGGAGTACCCAGAGTGTTTTATACTAATAACCGTCCACCAAGCTAACACATGTGAACTCTTCATATGGACGGCACCTGTAAATATTGTTATTAGGGGAGAAAACTCGAAGTCGTCTCCACAAGTTTAATGATGAAAAGATGCAGTCAAACCTTATTGAAGTAGGATTCTTATTTTTATGCATTCATTTATTTATTTATTTATTGAAAATGTTACTTCCAGTCAGAATCAAATGCTGGTATAAGGAAGTATAGTTAACAATAATACCTAGAACTATACAATTATAATAAACTCATAAATAATATAATATTTGAAAATATTAAGTTTTAAATTTTGACAAATCATTTCATATTGGTGAGCAAAAATCAATTTGAATATGAATCGAAAGTTGAAGAAAAAGAAAAAAAAATCATCTAAGTTGGTATTTGAATTTTATTGTATTACTGCAATTTTTTATAATATCTATAATATCTGGTAATTTGTTATATATCAAGATGAAATAAACCATGTTGTCTAGTTCGGTAATTATGAATTTCATTGTTTCATGTTAAAATAAAATTAGATTCCAATCTTTTATTTATGATATTGTATGTAATTTTCAGTCTTTTAATTTTAAACATTTCTTCTAATGAGAATGATTCAGTTATGTTATATAATTGATTTGTTGGTGTATCATATGGTAAACGATACAGTACTTTCAATATATTTTTATATAATGCAGATATTTTATTAACATTGTTTTTTGAACAGTATCCCCAAACATTTATCAAATAGTTAATACGACTGAGTATATGAGAATATAGAATTATATTTGCAACTTTTTTATTCAGCTTGGTACATCTTCTCAGGGCTTCAATAATAGGAGATATTTTTTACGTCAAAACATTTATATGTTTGTCCCACTCTAATTTATCATCAAACCAAGTCCCAAGATACTTTTTCTCATTAGTTTGTTTCAAAGATTCATTTATAATTCTGAGATTTGAATCTATATTTTGTTTATTTATTTGTTGAAAAATCATATATTCAGTTTTATAAGTATTTATTGATTAACTGCATCTTATCAACATTGAACTTGTGGAGACGACTTCGAGTTTTCTTTCTTGATCATTCTACTCCACTTTGTTATTGTTCCTACGAAAAAAAACCGTAAGCTGATGATTCGTGTCGCCTCGCTCCAGGTGGCGCTGGTGGGCGGCAGCCTGACCCCGGAGCCGAACTCGGAGACCATGGAGACGGAGGAGCACAGTACGGAGTCACCGACGCCGACGCAGACGCGGTCGAATCTAACGAACGAGGTCATTTCTGATTTAGGTGCGATGCTGCTGCGCAACGAGAAGACGTGCCGGCCGATCGTGCTGGCCGTGCTGGGGGCGCTGGCGTGGATCGACAGCAACGCTTCCTTGAAGGCCACGTACTTGACAGGTGAGGCCGTGTTTCTTTCGGAGGCATAAGGGGGGACGCTCGTAATTTTCAGATTTGTCGAAATTCAATCCTGACTTGTGATTAGAGTGTCTGAAAGATCTGACGTTTAATGCTATTTTTCTACTCACATAACTGGCATAAATGGCATTTAGCGGACGGATATGTACCACGCTAAATGATAGATTCATCACATATTGACGATCTGTGATTTATTCAAAAAATTCAACACATTACCATGGCAACACAGTTTTTCAAACATACCTTCAGTCGTTCGTGTCCTGTCAATTGTAGGAACTGTCAACTGTCATTTTCGAATTTTGTTGCCATTTGCAATCGATGACAATCAGATTCAGGTTGAAGTGCACGATAGGTTTTTATTTCGAAAATTATTTTTGGTACTTACGTATTTTCGTCTGAAAATACGAATTTCACATTGAAAATGTGAACAAACCGCTATCTATTGAGTTATTTAACGAAAAAATGTGAGATTCAACCATGTTTTGCCACTCATTTTTGATATCCATTCACAACTATTTGTCCTTTTTATTCCATCATTGGACACTATATACTCACGTTGTACTCCAATAACACATTTTATTTTCTAAAATCAACAAGAAGTATGGCTATTTGGAATTTTTTCATATTTTAATGAGGAAAACAATCACACCAGCTGACTGTCAGGCAATTATTAAATCTAAATACAAATCACAGAACTCAAAATACAAATATGAGATATCAAAATAAATGGAAGTCAAATGTCAAAAAAATTTGCAAGATAGTCGAGAAACCAAACTATTGTTTACTTTTGTAAATGAATATCCTAGATGGGATGCAAAAAAAGGTGAAATTTCTCACTTGTTCATGAAATATCTATAAATAGCGGTTTGTTCACATTTTCATTGTGAAATTCGTGTTTTTCAGACAAAAATACGTAAGTACTAAAAAAATGTCGAAAAAATAACCATCACATGATAAATGCACTATTACCAAAGATTTATTCAACCACTTTCTGTTTGTATCAGAATTCTTCATCAAAAGTGTATGCGAAATGTAGACGGAAGTAAGATCGACGATAATGTTTTAGGTATTTGCATATTTCAAAGAACTCTGTGTAAAAATGAAGTTCCCATCTTTGTGGACAATGTATTCTATGCTAAGCATGACAATATATAAACGTAAGAACATATTGATATGTAATCAAAAATTATGCAATCAGAATATGAATAGAAACCTGAGAAATCGAAAACTTTGATACCTCAGCGAATCAAAGAGTTTTTATCATCTACGTCAGATGGAAACTTCTTATTCACAAAGGTTAGTAAAATTCATGTATCTTATAATATGGACTTGACACATCTACAACCAATATCACTTATACGTGCCTCGGCAATTCCCATACTCTTCGAATTAATTTGTAGGTTAGCGGGTGGGTAGGTTAATCTGATTGTCGGAATTATGGGATCATGTCGAAGAGAGGAATTATGAATTCATAGTAAAGTATGTAACGCGTTTATAAACTCTTCTAGACACTCGTTTATTAAACACTCGCTCCGCTCTGCTGCGCTAGTGCTCAAAATAGTCGTTAGTAAAAGGACGTTTGTAGCACTTGTTACATAATATACTATTGAAGAGTGAGGACACATTGTCATGTTTTAAAACATTTCAAGAAATGAAATGAGACAAAAATCCTTTTTATAATATATTGAATGACAGCCGATCCTCAACCGTTTGGAAGAAAACTGCTTTCATAAAAAAAATATCGAATCGTGTATTCGTGGAAACGGAGGACATTTTGAATGCTTACTCTAACTGATTCGATATTTTATGTTTCTAGTCAAATATTTCTCAATTTTCTACTTGTGATTCTTTGTTCAATCAATAACCACAGCACAAGGATGATGTTATCGTTTTTGAATCTGAATAAACAAGTAATTGATCTCAATAAAATTCATTTTATATGAGCATCAGCTATTACTCCATCATTTTCAAATCGAAATATTCCGAAAACTGAACACAGTATCAAGTTTTACCAAGAGTACCTTTTTGGTGTGAAATTGAATGATGTTTGAGTTCACATCATCTGGGGGCCGGAGCCTGCACTGGGCATAACAAGAAGCCAAACTTCGACGAGGCCCTAGAAGGATATTGGAGGCGTATAGGCGGCTGCAGGCAATCGAGAGACCTGGTGGCCGGTCCAAGCAAGCCAAAGACGGCTTGGTTACTGGGCAGGGATCGCTAAGTCCTGCGCCTTCTTATAGGGACACTGACAGGGCACAACAGGTTAGGCAGACACCTATCACTCATAGTTGTGGAAGATAGTCCCACTTGCCGTGAATGCGGAGAAGATGAGGAGACATCACTTCACTTCCTCGGAGAGTGCGAGGCGTATGGAAGGATGAGATTCGAAATCTTTGGATTAGATAAACTACAACAGGAAGATTTGGTCGAATTAGAGTGGACGGACATCCTGACCTTCATCAGAAAGACGGGAAGGTTCGAAAAGGACAACTAAAAGAGGGATGTGTAGATATGTGGAGAGCAGGGGTTGGCAAAAAGGGCCCATGGGGGCCTACTTGCCTGGCAACAGCCTCCCCACAATACTACTACTACTCACATCAAATTTGGGTTGGAGACTTTAACCTCAAAAAAGTTATGTTTAAAACTAATCGGTACGAACCATGTTACATGTAACTAGCGCCCTCTATGAGAGTCAGATATAAAAACGAATTCATGCGATGTGTCAGGTTCCAAAAAACATCCATACAAAATTTCATCACAATGTTGCCAGTAGTTTCGACGTAATCAAAAAAAATCATTTTTTCAACACCTTGTATCTTGAAAACGGATGCCGTTAGGACATTTTTTTACTGAACAAACCCAACTTATTTTGCAGTGTTGTACCTACCCTATCAAGGGGGTCAGGTTTTTCTGAAACACCCTGTATAATCATCTGAGAATGTTTCAGAATGTACAAGAATCCTCCAGAAGGCACTAGAATGTCCTGGAGTGTCCAGATTTATGATGTTTTATTATTATTATGTATGTCTGAATGAATGGAAGTTGATATTGAGAATTGTTCAGGCCCGATCGTGCGGCAGCTGTCCACCGACAAGACCCTCGACGGCGAAGTGGCCGCCCACATAATGGCCGCCGTCCTCAACGCGCTCACCCTGCACGGACAGCACGAGGCCAATCAGGGCTCGCTGCTCACGCTGGGCGCGCAGATCTACGAGCTGCTGCGCCCCGCCTTCGCGGAAGTGCTGGCCGTGATGCAGCAGATACCGGGCATGAATCCGGTGGATCTGCAGAAGCTGGACGAGCGGATCGCCGGCGGTACGAGCAAGGGGAACAAGGTGGAGAAGGTGAAGAAGGACTTGTTCAAGAAGATCACCGGGAATGTGAGTAGAGGATGCGTCAGCGGTCTTGTGGTGTTTTGTTCTTCAAGCGATTTTGAATGTTGCTATGATTGGTATTTAATTTTGCCGAATTTACTCTTTCTACATGCCTGAGTACCTATTCGATTCTTTTAGCTATATTCTTTATAAATTAGTAATATTCTTTTTACCAACTTTGACTGAGAATAACCAAGATTCTCAGTGCAGCTCAATAGCTCAGTTGTATTACATGTTTCATTTACCTTAGTCAGATGTGAGTTGTCTTGAGAACTTATTGAGACTATTTCTTTCCCCTCACCCCAATTGAGCTTGCTATTCATCTGGTGATGTAGTGAGAAAGAGGTGAGACTGGATTAATTCTAGTAATTCTGTGGTTCTGTGCTGAAAATTGTGAGGTTATATTTTCATTTTGACATGCTTTCAGCTTTAAGTTTCAGTCCACAGGCTGAATCCTTCGAATACTCACTACAATAATATTTCTATGCTGCTCATTAATTTTCTCAGCAATTTTTCATTTTGGTTGAATTATGTTGGGTTATGTTTTCTTCTCTTGCCCTTCCTGACAGATAAAACTCTGTTCTTTTTATTCAATCGACAACTCAGATCCGTCTCACCTCCTTCTAACTCAATTGATCTCAGTAGTGAGAATGTAACAAGGTAAAAAGAATATTGCTCTTGTTACATTCTCACTACTGAGATCTATTGATTTAGAAGGAGGTGAGACGGATCTGAGTTGTGGATTGAATAAAAAGAACACGTGTTCATCTGTCAGGATGGGCAAGGAAAATGTAAAATGGCTGAGAAAATTAATGAGGAGAATAGAAATATTATGTTAGTGAGTATTCAAAGGATTTAACCTGTGGCTGAAACTTCAAAGCTGAAAGCATGACAAAATGAAAATATAACCTTACAATTTTTAGCACAGAACCATAGAATTACTAGAATTAATCCAGTCTCACCTTTTTCTCACTACAACACCAGATGAATAGCAAGCTCAGTTGGGGTGAGGGTAAAGAAATAGTCCCAATACGTTCTTAAGACAACTCACATCAGACTAAGATAAATGAAACATGTTATACAACTGAGCTATTGAGCTGCACTGAGAATCTTGGTTAATCTCAGTCAAAGTTGGTAAAGAGAATATTACTTTTATTGCATTATCACAGTGATTGAAAGTATAAAAATTCAGTAACATGCTTCAGAAGCGGGGCCAACCCGCTTACTTAAAATAATCAATGAAATCCATATTTAACAAAAATGAGGACTCCAATCAAATTCTGTGAGATCACTGATAGCCATAATAATTATTATAAATACACACACCGGCACAATTAGGGGAACGGGCAAACTTTACACTAAGTTTGACATCAATTCTCTCTTGAACCAGTCGCTCGATTTCAATTTTTTTCTCCGAGAATGGTAGCTTGATTCTTCACGAATACATGTGACGAATAAACACCTTCGAATGATCCGTCTTTATATCATATACAGTGGTGGAAAGAAAGTACGGATTTTTCGGTATTGTTCAAAACGTCCTGTGGAGTGAATCAAGGACAATTGACACCAGTCTGTATCACGAAATTGTAGCCTGATCTTTTCCGAATATTTTCTTTTTTTATTCATACTGATATCTCTATTATTCAAGATAATCCAGAGTTTCAAAGAAAAGGTGGAGATTGGTCTTACGCACCTTCTATCACCTGGAAAATCGAATTGGATCCGAAAATGTGTCATTTTTCAAGTTGTTTCTTTGAAAGTTTCCACTTTAAGTCGAATATTGCTCTCAGTTTCACGTATCAGTCTGTTGTGTCAAGAATTCTTGGAAAAATACAGAGGTGATTAAAAAGAAAAGTAATTTACTCAGAGCCTTCATTCAATAACAATAACATTAACTCGAGGAACAATAAAGATCCAAAACAACAACAATGATTTCAGTAACGCGTGTGACCTCCAGCACCCTTATTACAGCAGTCATCCGTCTCCTCATGCTTCCGATGACATTATCAATCATTTTTTGAGGAAGATCATCTTATCCCCAGTTCAAGTGTAAAGGACATTTTATTTAAAACTATGAATTCTGTAATAATTGAGATATCAAAATGAATGAAAAATGAAAATATTCGGATTAGAGTGGGTCACAATTTGGTGTTGAGAAATCGTTTCAATTATCAGTGGTTCACTCCACAGGATGTCTTGAAAAACACCGAAAAATCCGTACATTCTTTACATCCCTATATATGATATAAAGACGAATCGTTTGAGGATGGTTCGTGAAGAACCAAGCTACTTCTTGGAAACAAAAAAATTAATCCAGCGATGGGTTCATGAGTAAAATTGATGTCAAACTCAGTGTAAATTTTGCCCGTTCCCCTAATTGTGCTGATGTGTGTATTATATTTTGAGATTTATAGCCTGTCAATTTTTTCCGATGTAAATCTAAAACAGGCTTTAATCTCTAATTGCTCTGAGGAGTGTCCCAATTCAGTGGTGAAATTGAACTGCAGCCAGCGGATTATTTTTTTTTTCACCATATTTTCTTCATTTTTCGGTCGTAGTAAGTGCACGTGTCTATATCACGTGACCCATGTTGATCTATATGCAATCACAACGTCCAACTTATTGCGAATTCCATTGGAAGAAACTGGTGTATATCCAGCTCTGTTCAACACATGCGAGTAGGAAGGAAACATATACATTAGGCGTTTTCGGAAACTTACTCTGGGTTGATAACTCGATCCAGATAGATCACGTGACAAAAAACTCGAATCATCTACTCCTGTTCAACGTTAACGAACGTGTCAGGTTAGGAACACTGAATATTATATTTTTCCTGTGGTTTCATGAATTTGACAGACGAAAATGGTCACATTATATTCAAGTAATTATTTGATCTGATTACAAATATTTATATTTACCTGTGGATTGGTGTACTCACCTTATATGTGTTGTTGAACATAACCACAAACTTCACCCCTACCCAAATTCTCTTTTCAATGAATTACTTTAATCTAAGATGGCTAAAAGGGACTGTAGCATCTTACTTTAATCAAATTATGAAGATTGAAAAGAACATGTATATCACCGGTTGTGATTTTTCCCAACATGCAAATTATTTTATTATTATTGTTATCGTTGAATAAACTCCCGCGTTTTTTGATTGACTTAAATTCCGTAATGCGCATGCGGTGTCCTTTGCAACTCTGACGACCCTGCTTTTGAGTAGGGTCACGAAAAATCAACCCGAGTCAGTGATCGAGAGTTAGCATCATTCAAGTTTCCGAACAGAGGTAGGTAACTCGGTTTGGGTAACCGAACGTTCAGGTTAGGGCTCCGAACAACCCGAGTAAGTTTCAGAAAACGCTTATTATATATAATGTAATTATTTGATCTGATTACAAATATTTATATTTACCTGTGGATTGGTGTACTTGTCTCATATGTGTTGTTGAACATAACCACAAACTTCACCCCTACCCAAATTCTCTTTTCAATGAATTACTTTAATTTAAGATGGCTAAAAGGGAATGTAGCCATCTTACTTAAATCAAATTATGAAGATTGAAAAGAACATGTATATCACCGGTTGTGATTTTTCCCAACATGCAAATTATTTTATTATTATTGTTATCGTTGAATAAACTCCCGCGTTTTTTGATTGACTTAAATTCCGTAATGCGCATGCGGTGTCCTTTGCAACTCTGGACGACCCTGCTTTTGAGTAGGGTCACGAAAAATCAACCGGAGCCAGTCATGATACTAAGTATCAAAGTATCATGCGAGTCAGTGACAGAGCTGGGCATTATTTGTATTTACAAATATTCGTTGGAATATATTCATATAACTTAGTATCTGCAAATAGTTTCGAAAAGTATTTAAATATATCTGAAGCATTCAAATACTTTCGGAGTATTTAAATACCCAAAAATATTTAAATATTTCAGAAGTATTGGAACACTCGTAAAATATTCAAATACTGTGGAAGTATTCAAATACTTAGAAGTATTTAAATACTCCGAGAATGATTGAATTTTTAGATTCTGTTTAGGCCCATCACGGCTATGATATCTTCTTAAATGGAACACCCTGTGGATTTTAGCTTTTCTGAATCTGAGCTGATTTCAGGGACCTCCACATACAACATGCAATATAGTGAATGGTGAATTTATTCCATAATTCATACATTTTCAGAGACGAGGATCGAAAACCCAAAGAAATCGAGTAAAAATAGGTGGTAATTCTGTTTCAAAATCATAGGTAAGTGAGTAAGTCACTAATTAGACATCATCCTTTTCTATTGATGTCGGGTTTTGACAAATTGACTCCTTCCTAGTGCAGTACAAAGAATTATTCATTACATCTACATGACACAAGGTGATTAAAGGCGTCATGAATATATTCAAATCCTCGAGGATATTTGAAAACTCTGGAAGTATTTAAATACTTTGGAAGTACTCACATACTTTGGAAATATTAAAATACTTTTAGCGTATTTAAATACTTTGCAAATAATCAAGTCTTTTGAAAGTATTTAAATACTTTGGAAATACTCAAATACTTTGAAAGTATTTGAATACTTACTGTGAACTATTCAAATATTTTCAATATCCGAAAGTATTTAATACTTAATATTTAAATACTTTTCTCAGAGTATTTGCCCAGCTCTGGTCAGTGATCGAGTTAGCATCATTCAAGTTTCCGAACAGAGGTAGGTAACTCGGTTTGGGTAACCGAACGTTCAGGTTAGGGATCGAAAACCCCAGTAAGTTTCCGAAAACGCCTGTTGAGTGCATAAACAATTCACCAGTTCCTGCCAATATTTTCGCTATTTGTTAATCCCAAATTGAATTTATTCTAGTTGATTGGAAGGAGCGTTGGTCAGCTCTTCAAGAAAGAAGTAAAAATTCAAGACTTGCCACAAATTGTAATACCGAAACATCCACCGAAAGAAGATTTGATTATCAACGTGAGCAATGTGTTCAGTTGATAATATTATTTATACGAATTTACAAATTGATTGTATTTATTTGATAATAATTGTACAACATTCCTTGTTGTTCATCCCAATCTGACTGGTTTTCTATAATGCATTGTAATTGATTAAATATATTTGTTGCATTATTTTGTATATAATTTGTTACTTTGATTTTATTCAATATTTTTGTTTGGTAGTAACGAATAAAGAAGCTTTTTCTTCTGAACATTCATTTATTTTGAGCCCACCTATTAAACAATGTTCCTCATATTGAAAAAGGGTCATAGAAAATACAAAAACTTTAATGAAAATTTTATTATTTTTTTAGTTCATCCCTATCAGATATAAAAAATCAAACGTTTCTATTAATTTTCTCCCTAAAATAACACAGAGCATCTGTAATGAGAGGTGACATGTTTAATCCATTTAATGGACACCTGTAACATCAACAGTACTAAAAAAAATAAGAGCATTCCAATAAAGTCTTCTTACAAACATCTCACGTCACATTTTACATTATTCCCAGTAGTTCTATGGTACAGTGGAATTCACAAACATCAACGGATTGAGGCTACGAAATACAAAAAAAAACATTTGAACAATCATCTCCTTTCACACAGGAATGAAAAAGAATACAAAGGCAATGAATGAAATATTACAGAGTAGTTACTTAAAAAGAAAATAACATAGCACAAGGAAGGTATTTTTCAGGTGAGTTATCCCACTTCTGCCACCAAATGCTGGATCATGGAAACCCTCCTCTATTATGACATTTTCACACTTTGTACATGGAATATGCAGTATTGTCCGCTTCAATGTACATTATGGAGTAATTAGTAACAAAACTAAATATATCTGAACGTTTCCACTCCCTTCATACAAGCTTTGGTATGATGTATGAACAATAAACTGTTAACAATCAATGAAATATAGTAAAAATAGTCTGCTCTGCTTATACTGTAGGGGACACATGAAAATTATACTAAGAGTGATACTTACAACTCAAATAAAACGTTTCCAATAAATAGTTTGCATAAAATTCTCAAACATGTAAATTGAATCCTGCAAAAAATTGACACAATTTTAAAAAGTTTGTGATAAAAATAGATGATGAAAAGAATGAGTAAACTAATACGAATTTGATTTCTTTCACAATCTTGACTACTGTTCAAAAAAAGATAAAAGCAAAGTATTCCTGGAAAAATGATATGAAATAAAAATAAACAAAATGGTGAAAGAACAAAGCGCGCTCACTCACACCTGTCAGTTTGTAAGTACACATGAATAAAAAAAAAAGAACGAGAGATAATACACTGCTACTAATGTATATTTACAATAGAGGAATGAGAAGGCGACTTCAACGAAACGTGAGGTTATGTTACATTGTTCAGTCGTCTTCGTCGTCATCGATCTCTTCTTCGTCTTCCTCCGGTTCCTCTGGTTCAGGTACTGGCACAGCCGCCTGTTGCATGGCGGGATTGTTCTTCTTTTTGTAAGCAGTCATTTCCTTGAAAAAAAAATAGAACATTGAATCAACTCGAATATGTCGCTGCTCCAGAATAATAATGACGCAAATGCAAGAAAGTTAATTTTACAGGAGAAGGATAAAACGAATTCAAAATATCAATTTTTCGATTTCCAAATTGGCGATTTATACTATGAGTTTGAACCTTCGATATATTTGGAGTATGCACTCATACTTTAATGTAGTATGTTCAGAGAGATGATATTTTGAAATTTGATATGGATATTTGAAGTTATGTCTTTATTCATGCTGAAAGAAAAAACATCTTAGTCAATTGTGTCAACACTTTCAATGATTTCCTTGCTTTTGAAAATGAAAACAGATGAAGGATCTCATTGATTTCAACTCCAGAGGATATTTTCTGTTCACTCATGAGCAATGGTATAAACTAGAATCCTCTAAAATTCATTGGACAAAGATGTAGAGTTTTTCGGATCATTTACACCGAGGAAAATAATTTCAAAAGGATGAATTGCACTTATGTAGGTAATAATTGTGATTATAACATCAATAAACAATCCTCGGATGATTACCCAACTGTAAGAAAAAATAGCAACTGAAAAATAATATCCAACTGTTTAATCAGAAGAACCCTGAGTTCAAAATTTCAAATGAATAATAAGGTAGGTACTTCTTTCCAAAAATATTATGCTATCAGCAGAATATTCCAGCCATTTGAATCACCATCCCATACATGTTAAATCATGAGAATTCTTGTGGCTTCTTAGGTGGCCAGGTAGCCGTGCGGACAGAGTGTCCATATTCTAATCCGCATTCGCTTGCCGGTCGTGGGTTCGAGTCCCGTCGACTGCAGACATTTTTCTGATGGCCCAAGAAAGTGTTTGGGATCACACGTTAAAAGGTAAGGCCCCCGTCATTCCTTGCTCGCACAAGACTCTCGAAGACTTCTGAGGGTTGCTCGTAAGGGGGCAACCGAATGACGGATAGAACAATTTTTTTTTTGTTCAATAAAGATGAGAACTCACGATGGTACATATAAATGTCAACAATCTTGTCAATCAAAACATAATAAACCACTGGAAAACACGAAGTTCAAAAATACACCAATGAGACTGAACGTTTGAAATATCAAAACGAAATGAACATAAACACCATTACTGAACAATGTAAACAATCCGCCAATGGCCCATAGAGTAGTACCGACATTCGCCGTTCTGGCGCTGCGATCTCATCTCAGTCACCTATAGTTGCCAACTGACAGAGAAATATTCTTCTATACTTGACGATTATTTTTCAATATGACATTTTCAGTCAAGTCTGGTGTCAATTGTGAGACCCAGTATCTGTGCATTCCTAGGGATATTCACTATCAAATATTTCAATAACTTGATTATCCAACTTCGTGATTGTGAAACATCAATATAAGGGAATCCTTAGAGTAAGAAAATTTCAAATACTGGGCGAAATAATGTTGACGTAATCCAAAAACATCGATTCACTCACTTTCTCGTATCTGGCTTTGTCCTGGTCCGCCAGGGCCTCGTATCTGCTCTTGTCTTCGGGATCGCAATCGGCCCACCTCCTGCCCAACTCCTTGGCGATGTCGCCCACACCGTACTCGGGATTCGCCGCCTTGACCTTGGAGCGCTCGTCGTTGCTGAACCAGAAGAAGGCAGACCTGGAAAGAAATTGGATTTTGAAAATATCGTTCCACACGTCCATGATAATGCAATAGAGAAGTTCAGCTAACTTTGAGAGAGTGAAAATGTCTTCCCTAGAGAGAGTAATTTGTATATCGCTACTTCAAAGTTGGGAACCAACTCCCCAGAAGTCGAAACTTGTGCGGGGTTAGGAAGAGCGGGACCTACAGCTTATAGTGGACTCCGGACCACTTCTAGGGCATCGAGGTGCTGCCAGGATTACAACCATGAATCACACATTTCAAAGAAAAATGCTCAGCCGATAGCCGGATTCGAACCGACAGTACCTCTGCATCGTGAACGGCTATCTAGCGAAAGATCTCTTCTTAACCCAGAAAAAAAGTTATTCGAACCATCCTCAATAAGCTAAGGTCTCACCCCTGCAAGCCACTGTTCATACAACTTAACATTCTACCTCTAGTTTGTCTGTATATACTCGAGGTTGCCTGCTATATATACCTCAATAGAAATAATCTAATTGCACACTCTGACATACACTCCTATTCAACAAGGAATAACAACCTACTTTACCCACCTAAAAACACCTTACAACTAACCTACATTGGCCCTACAAACATGGGTATCAAGATTTTCAACAATTTGCCAGGAAGTGTCAGAGATTGTACCACTCACCTCAAATTTAGGAATAGCCTGAAAGCTCTCCTCACTAAACATATGTTTTACTCATTAAGTGAGTTCTTTGACTGTTCCATGAACTGATTTTAATTTATTTTTTTTCTTCATGTGAATGTGATGTATTTTATCCAAATGTTTGTAAAACTCATATTATTTGAGATTGTATTATTGTATTGTATTCACTTTATCTATAGCCTTGACGAATTGTACACAAAATTTCTTGTCGATCATAATAAACTGATATTATTATTATTATTAATTTCAGTGCATAGACAAACTCGGCCACGGAGCCCGGCCAGTAGATTAAATAGAGTGACAATAGACCTCCAAATGGCTGCCATTTCCAGAATGTAATTCGTGGTCAAGTCACTGAATAGCTATAAATCTGAAGAGTATATTTCATGCAGTAATGAATTTGTGCCTTCAAAGTGCTCACCTGGTGTTAGGTTTGGATATTTGATATCTTCATGTCGTCATATAAATAATCTAAGACTTGCGAGTCCAAAAAGATGGATTATAATAGTTAATATCTTAGGTACTGACATATAGAATTTCATGTCTAATAGTTGGATGTTTTGTGTCTAAGGAGCAAAAATCAGAGACAAAGCATTGACAAACTGAAATAGAATGCTTAATGGAGAAAACAAGACAGGTGAATGCACCTACATATTGAAGGTCTGACCAATCAAAAGGTGTACCACTATTGTCTTCACTCTAGTTAGTCTTCCCTGTCCTTGTCTTCAGTGTTCCAACGTAAAATAATGAAAATGTTAGAATGGTCTCTTTCTCCATTTCTTCTCATTTTTAGTGATGCTGACATGAAATTTTCATTATTTTACGTTTGAACACTAAAGACAAGGACATATGGACAAGACATATTTTCTCTCTCTCAAAACTAGCGAGTATTTCTAATTTTTGGGGCGGCAAACTGTGACGTACATTCTGAATCTAGTCCGAGTATGGCTGAAGATGAAGAATATAGCTAGCAAATAAAAACCAATAGAAGAAGACAAGTTAGCGTCGTTGTTGATTACATCATAAAAAAAAACGATGATCAACTAGCTAACGAAACAACTATAAACTATAGACATAGGCTAAAGAATAACTGGTGATCAAAAATCAACACTCAAGTTAAACAGGCAAACAAAAACATACATAACCACAAAACCATGTCAGCTTTCATTATGCCTGTGTGGTGTCGACAGGCTCAAAGTATTATGTGCTGTAGCAAGATATAATCTGCAACTTTTCTAGAAAATAGATCCGAATTCATTTGAAAACAAATGACTAATAAGTTATGATTATCATTTTGTAATATAACGAAAGTGGAAAATTATAGATACTATTGCAAAATATCATGATTTATCCTCATTAGTAATCAACTTCATCCAGCAAACAAGATATTTATGAAAATTATTCGTGATACTCGACGAAGTATGATTAAAAAAACCAATTATATCCCATTGCTGTTATGATACAGTTATAATGTACTCAAAGAACAATTGCCAGAAAACTAGACATATTGATGATGCCGGCAACGTCATGATGACACAGGGAATCGTATTTCAACTCTGTCTGAATGTGGTTTTTCATAAAGTATGTCGTAGGAATAGTGAAGAAGCCTAGTTCCTTTTTCATGAATTTTTTACTGAAAAGAAATTTGATCTTACGAAAAAAATAAAAAAATGCGCATGTATTCAATTTTTACAAACTTCACAGTGAGATAAAAACCTCAAAATTGGAAACTTCCCGTCTTGTGTGTACGTTCAGTTCAACTATCAGAAGGATCCATAAAGTTGATAAAAATCAATTGAAATTTTCAACCAAAATTTAGTTTGAGGAGTCCTTGGAGGAATCCTTTGACAAAAACAAAAATGCAATCAATTCCTTAGATTTGACAGTAATTTAAATTGACAAAAAATTGATTTTCTTTCCGAGATTTTTCCTAATATAATGAGGCAGATCAAGAAGTTCATCCTATCATCAAAATCAATAATCAATATTATTGAACTTAAAAAAAATTAGCCTATTTTCAGCAATTAATTTGAAGAAATGTAACTATCAACATGTAGCGAAAGTCATGTGACCTCGATAAAGCAGGTCATTTTTATCTTTTTCAAAGCAAATTTCAAAATGAATTATTAATTAAAGTGTTTCTCATTTGATTCCAACTAACTGAAGACACTGTATATTGGTCAGGTAGGTAGAACACTTAATCACCACATTCATGAGCATCAAATGAGTTTTTATTTAAAAGAGAAACAAATTCAAATAGTTTTCGATTATGATTTCAATATTTTAGATGCATAAAATAAAGAAATAAAACCGAATCTTTGCAAAACAATAGTGACAAACGTAAAAGGAATAACTTAATCTCAACAATCCATGGCTGTTGATGTTTTTCGTAAAGTATATTTGAGTTAAGCACATCAATGTTATATTAGCTTATTGTATGAGTATGCCACTTGATCAAGCTGTGCCGGTGAAACATGTGTTTTTTAAAATCCTGTGGAAGTCTTATCGTTTTTGAAGTTTCGTCAATGTTTCATCCCATTCAAATGTACCGTTTTCAAAATTATGAGCAGATGCGTTGTTCAAAATCGTTAAAATCACGGCCTGCGGCCACCACGTTTACATAACTGAATCGCTGTGATATAGGTGTGAATTAACGTGAATGTCTCACACACAGATCTACTTTAGAAGCACAATGAATAATAAGGAATTTTCCACGGAATATAATATTTCTACTTCGTAAATGTACTTTGATGTATGACAACTATTTGCCTTCTCCTGTCATTACGTCAATTACAATGACAGGTAAATTTTGAATAAAGCATCACCTTTTTTTCTGATGTTAAGTCATCAAAACCACTGAACATTTTCGCAAAAACATTAGGGAAAGAATTGATGTAGATCAATTCAGCCGCCATTTTGAAATAGAAGTCTGACTAATAATTAAATTATTGTAGATATTCATATATTCTCAATATTTCTACTAGATAACATTTTTGCAATATATGCCCATAGCTATTTTCTACTATTAAATGACCAGTGGGGAGTACTTATAATTGATTGAAAAAAAAATGTGGGGAGTTTGTCAATACCTGATCAATTGAAAATGTTCAAATTCTTTTCATATCTCCCCAAATTCGATCTAGCACAGGATTATAACCAAACAACTATAAATTGGAATTGCTGATTGATCAAACAGTGCAAACTGGTAACTTTTCTGCAGGAACTTTAATGATCCCATTAAATCATTCAAGTGTCATTTCTGAAATATTATATTGTACTTACAATGAACGTTTTGGAGCATTAGGATCCTTTACTTGTTTCCTCTTCTTTCCTCTTTGCTTCTCTCCCTTGGGAGGAGTGTAGCTGAGCATTTCAGTATCAAACCTCTTCTTATCGCCCTCAGCCATTTCATGGAAACGCTTCTTTTCCTTGTCCAACATGGTCTGTAAAAAATATTAACAAAATGTTAATCACTCAAATGCATTCAAAAACTGTTTGCAAAAAGTTATTTTTGTATCTAGATCGCGAAATGCTACTTTGTTTGGTGATCGAGATCTGATTTTTTTAACGAGGCGTAGCCGAGTTAAAAAATAGTCGAGTGTGAACATTCTCAAAACTCATTCTCCCAATTGTAGTTAATATAATTTGATAAATTGCAACGAAGATTTTTGTCCTATAATTTGATGGGTTTCAATGTTTCAATCAAACATGTTCGGGACATCTGTAAACATGACTGAGTTTATTGGGAAGGTGAATAAAGTGCAAAAATTTCATCAGAAATTAGTCTCCAACATGGATGGTTCAAAACGAGAATAGAAATTGATAGTCTGAATATAGCCTCCTTTCATCATTGATTTTTATGTATTTCATCTAAAAAACTCCTGAGCAATGGAATTGACAAGAACTTCATACTGAAAATGGATCGCTTCAATCCAAAGAAATGCAATCAATGTGTCCAATAATAAAAACTGTTGATATCTGACCATTGTTTCTCCTTATCTTTTCAGTTTACTTCATTATTATCATTTGTGGCTTCCAAAGGGATTCAAGCAACTCAATCAGAATTTTGTATTGATTTCATGAACATATAACCTCATGGGCGTCGCCACTGCACGGCAAGAATGGCTGCTCTCTCCATTTGCTACTTGCTCATAAATTAAAAAAACATACTTATTCAAGTGCATTCTGTAGTTTAATGAAGGAGTAAAAAGATTAATTTTTTGTTGAGATTTTCACCCCTTGTCTCTACAAATGAAAATATTTGTATTTATTTCAATATTCTGTGATTATGACAAATCAGTTTCAATATTAGGAACATAAGAGAAAAATGTAATCGCTTGTTAGTCACACCTTGTTTGAAAAATGTTTGAAAAAGAAAATAATATAGATGTAGTGAGAAAATATAATACTTATTTCACTTATCTTTGGACGTTTCGTAAACGAATCTGCCCCCGTTTTCAACATAATGCATATATTAGTGAATCAATTCATTCCCCTTCAAAATGAGTAAAACTTTTTTTTTCTTGGGGATTTTGAAAAAAAAAAGATGACTAAAACTAAGTCACATTCGAACCACTTTGTATAATTCATGGCGGTACTCATATAATAAAAAAATCCTTCAGAATCGGTGGACACATAATCAGGACAGTATTAAAACAAGTGATGATGGTTCTACAAATAATACGAAACGTCGCATAGAGAAATCAATATCAACACGTTAAATCTCATCAAAAGTTGTATGGAAAAGTATTTTCAGTTTTTCTGTATGTCCAATAATAACGTAAGAAAAAAATTGGCAAGTTTTTCCAAAAATTCTATTTTTTTCTTATTGATGTAACTGAAAAACTATAAATGATTTTGAAAAATTTCGAAGTCCGTTAAAACAACCGTTTCAGAGATTCTAATGCTATGCATTATTTTGGTTACACTGTACAATCGGAAGTGACCATTCGTTGAAAATATTTTCGATGAATCCGGCATCACCGAAGAAAGTTTTCCGTAAAAACCATAAAATTAATGTAAATTTAGAGTTAAAAAGAGTAACCATATTGCACAAACAATTTTGGGCGGATTGATCGACATTAATGAAGCCAATTCGACGATATTATATTTCCTAAAGGCATCTCCCGAAAACGCTTCAAGCCAATATCAAATTACGAAACGTATGTACGAGGTTATAGGCAAATGGGGGAAAGAAAGAGGGGTAGGAGAAAGAGGAATATTCCCGAATGTGCCCTACTCACATTCAGATCGGACCCATCTACAAACAGGATACAATTGATTTTCAGTCTCCTGGCTATGAGCCGGCGCCTGCGTTCTCATTTGCATATACTATACATGGTGGATTGAAAATTATCCTTGAGGAAGGAAATCTATCTCTAATTCGATTATTATCGAATCTTTCTTCGCTAATTGTGTTCGTTTTTCTCTATTGACCACTTCTCAGTAACAGATGTTGACAAAAAAAATTGATCTTGAATTTACCATTTTCATTTCCAAGTTTTAGGAGTGAATAACAATTTTTTCCACCACTAGCTATACAGAGTGTTTCTTAAAGACATTCTAATATTTGAAGCGGTGAATCTTTGACTCATTTTAAGAAGAAAACTTCATATTAACGTATGTCCCAAGTCTTAACTTTTGAGATACAGGGTGATGAAGTTTTGAAAAATATTCAGTTTCTTGATAATAACTGAGACAATATTGTATACATATTCATGAAATTTGGTACACGACTTTTATGCATCAAGGTGCATTTTATGATGTACACAAATTTTCATTTTCTCTACCAGTGGCACCTTTACGGGAATTTTATTGTTTATATTTTAATTCAAGTGAGCAACGACGGAAAATTTTCAAATTTTGTACAATGCTATGAAAGGCTAGTCATCTTTGTACAAAAAAGTTCCTCTTGTTGATACTCGATGGAACGCTTCGTTTCAGAGAACAATCGAAAAAACGAGACTAGACTTCGAATTTTGATGTCTGAGTACTCCACTCAGGACATCCATCACTGGATAACCACAGTATGTAACATTTTGAAATTTTCATACTGATTCAGTCACATAGCAGAGTGAATTTTGCCATCACTAAGAGATACAGAGTGGACAAAAAAGAATATATGCATATTTTCGACATTGACACCCTGTATCTATACGTATGTATACAAGATATGTTCATATAAAGTTTAATTCTTAAAATGGGTCGAATACTCGGCCCCTTGAATATTAGCATATCATTAAGGGACACACTGTATAACCTACCATTATTTACTCTGTTTCAAGGCGTTATGTGTGTTTTTTCTACCAATAAGGTATAACTTTCGTCATTTTAGCGACCTCTGTTATAATTAACCAGAATTCACTGTTATGATGTGAAATTCGCAGGAATGGCACTGGAATCTAGTATAGGTATTTTATCAAGGTATTTATCAATAACGACTTGTTATAATATGCTGGCATTGTCATGGCTACTAGATTTTAATAAGAATTGAAAAGAAGTGCATAGTGAAAATAGATCCGTATTTCAGTTTCACAAAACTATAATGATTGAAATATATTGCTAATGATGAAAAAATTTTTGTATAAGTACACCATGGTAGAAAAGGATATCATTACCACGATACCTTTACCTTTTCTTCTTGGTCTCTGGGTTATAGTGATATTCTTTACTACCTTGGTATATAAATGTATGAATAACAAATTATTTTAGGCTATCTATTAGTGAAAGTGGCATTCTGGGACACAGATTTGGCCTTACAAGTATATTGAAATAAATCTAATATTTATATTTATACAGACGAAAAGTAAAAATCATAAGAAATTAGAGAAATGATTATTCAACTTTAACAGAATGACAGTATCAATAACAGTATCAAATAAAAATGCATGACTTGAAAAACATCGAAATCTTCTGTCGGAACTTCCATGTTTTTATTGCGAAGAAAAACGAGTTTTGAAGTTAATTTCAGGGGTTTAATAAGAAATTGTCATAGTGGAAATTCAATTATAACTGAGAACTAAATAGTATAGTGCATTCATTAATCAATTGTAATAGCTTTGTCCACAACTATCAAGTATTGCCAAATTTGTCAAGACTCGTCTCCATTATATTTGAGTCACATTGAAATCAACAAAAATAATGAATTTACCTGGCAACTTCAGAAAATTATTAAATTTCATTTATCAACCATATTCGACATCATTAGTGATGTTTCAGATGTGTGTTAGTTACACAGTGTTTTCATTGTTTCAAATTTTAGTCATAGGAATCGAATTTAAATTTTTGGTTAGTCATAATAAACTATTTTTTTCTGTGACGGGAAAAAAGTTTGGCATTTCATCTCTGTTGGCAGGTTATAAAATGTCACTTTTCATAAATTACTTTTTTCCCGTGGGAAAAAAGTGAGTACTTCTTTCCCGGATATATATCACATATATATACTCTGTTAATGGCTTTTGTTGTGCTATAGTTACGAAATATGAGTCAATAATACCGTCTCCGAGAAAGAACTGCAAGTCCTTTTATCTTCCATTCGACTTCGCGGTTTCGTATATTATTAAACAACTACTGAATTCGCAATTTTTCAAAATCGAATCACAGAATTGAACTGACAGAAGTGACATCAGATATTTGATTACTTCAAAAGAATGATAAAGATGTCTATAAAACGCAGGTGTCCCTACTGTTAAAAACTTGAAATTTCACGTCGATAATTTTCAGATTTCGAAATAATGTAATATCTTCTCAATATTGATTCGTCCTTCCTTCTGTCACAGAAAAAAATAGTGTATTATACACGGGAAAAATATTACATTTTAGCTCACGGTTTTTTGTCTCCCTCCGCTACGCGTCGGGAGACAACACAACCTGGAGCTAAAATCTACTACTTTTTTCCCTTGTATAATAAATAACTATTATTATTCTCTCATGATCGAAGTCGAAGTGCAAGTCAAAAGTATTTGAGTACATAATTTGAAAATTGGTTGACTTACAAACAAGGAATATTTTATACCATAATGGACAAAAGAAGTTCAACATAAAACAATGGTAATGTTTTGATTTTCGACACAAGTGAGAACCTATGGGAAATATTGCAAGATCTAGGTGAGCCGCCGAAAGAAAAATAAAAACAGGAAATGGCAGAGGAAATAGGATATATTATGTAAGAAATGAGAAACATATTATGGATTCGACGTCGTCAGTATTTTAATTCGATTATTCATATTAATTCGATTATTCGGCGTTTTTAATAAATGCGCCGAGGCTAGCATGCTGGTCTCTCATTCCGAAAGGGAAACCTTGAAAGATTGGGTGTATCGGATGCCGAGAAACCATAGGCGGATTCAATTTCGTCAGAAATAAATCGAAATATACCGGGCGGTAAATAACCAGGAACTTCTCTCATCTTGAGTTTAGACTCATAATATGGAAAATGTTTATC